AGGACTCACTCTCTCAGGTGAATTTATGGTTCCCTTGGACATGGTCCTTTTATTCTCTCTCTCTAATATTTTCCTTGCTTTATTAAGTTGTATGGTCTTACACCATTTTTCTCCATGCTCCTGAGCAAAGCCTTAATTAATTGATTTAAAATTTATGGCACAGTCTCCATAAATCTCTTGTTATATCTTCGAAATTCATAAGAAAGCTTTCAGGCATTTTCAGTGCTCTGGGATCTGATTTGTAAATCCATTTCATTTTCCCATCTGAAATAGGCATCCTTGCTATTTGCGTTTATGCCACCTTGATAAATATTCTAATGTATGGACATAGAACTGCTGCAGGATAAGGGATAGTTCTCCTGTGGTATCACAGGTGCAATATTTTAATTTCATTTTCTGCCTCAACAGTTTGCTCAAGCAAAAATTAGTCAGGGTTGAACTGTATTTTCCAGTGTTGACAAATAACTTCTTCACTGACTTAATAAAGCAGAAGTGCACTTACTTACAGATCCATCAGACTGGAGGGGAAAAACATCTCAAATATTTTAGAAAAAAAGATCCTAAATAATCTTTCTACTTATCAAAGAAAAAGGTCAGCATGTTTGGGATTTTAAAAAAAATTTCTTCTTAATTTCTTTTAAAGGTGTCTTTCCCTAGTGCCCAGATTCTGCTGTGCAGGGTGAGGTGAAGCTGCTGACTGGAGTGTGTGGGAAGGGGCTGAATTATAGTTCTCAATTTGTATCAGGGCTGCTCTGCTTGTTGGCATCCCTGGGACCCTTCTGCTTTCATGGAGTCACTGAACTCTGCACATGTGTTTGCTGAAGATCCCTCTTTTTCACTATTTCCTTTTTTTTTTTCTCCTTCTGCTTTTCCTGAAGCAATTCCTTGTGACCCTATCTCTTTATACAGATTAGAATAACCAGGTAATTAATTTTGAGACCAAAGGGAATCAGCCCTGTGGTTCATAATGTTTATTCCATCAAGTCTGATTATCAGATTACAAACTGCATTTCTAGTCCTTATTTCAGGCACCCTTGGAAAGACCTTGCCCACACTGCTGGTTAGAGCAGACCTGCAAGTGTATATTTTATTTCTGAATTGACTTTATATATTGGCATGTTATTTCTCAGGCTGTTTATTGACATATTTCCATTTTAATATTTCTTTCTTTGTCTTTACAAATTTCTAATTCCTATGAAATGGAGCTTCTCAGTAATGTGCCAGCTGCACTGGGAGAGTTGGGGTTTTTTTTTGCTTTAAATAACAAGCATAGATGTCAGTCTTTATTGTACAGATGACAGCTAAACTATGGCTTGTAAAAAGGCCCAGTAACTTTCTTCTGGTAGCCTGACAACTCTGTGCAGTGTCTTTTGTGTGTGTGTGTGACAACAGAAATATAATGTTCATCTGCTTCTTGCCTCTAACACATGGTTTCCATAGAAACATCTGCTAAACACCCAATTTAGCTATTAGTGAGTTCAGTCCATAACTGAAGAATCTTAAAAACCATGCAAGCCTGAGAATAAACAGCTAGAAAATACTTTGTGTCTCCACGGGTAAAGTACAAAACACATCCTCCTAAACATCAATATTAAATATAATTTTCCAGTTTCATCCTCAGGCAGGCTTGAATTCTGGAGGAGCAGCTGTGTGGCAAAAACCCATGGGGAAGCTCTCTGTGGCTGCAGCAGCTCGGCGGGGTGGTTGTGGCCTCGCTCGGGCTGTAGATGGCACCGTCGCTGCACATGAAAACTGAGCTCTGCCAGTCCCTCCCTAGGAGGGAATTGTTATCCCGCACGCGTTTGGGAGCATGTATTTCATGGCAGGACTTGGTAAGGGTTTGATAGAGTTCTTTCCCTAGGGTTAGAGAGAAACATGGAGAGAGATGTTGGATTTTTTTTTTTTCCTTTGTGAAATAGTGCTTTGAAAAACAGTTGGAGCTCATGAATGAACGAGGACCAATGATATAAAGAACACAGTCAAAATTAGTTTTATTGTATCTTAGGTGGCTAAATTTTCATCTAGAAGTCATCCCTTTTGCTTTGCAAACTTGTTTGCCTAAACAAATGAGTACCACTTTAAGGTCTCTCTTGTTTTTGAAGCTGAGCATTTGAAATACAAATTAGTGAATGGATCTACAAAAAACAATAGAGATCAAGGTTCTCTGAAATCCTTCAGACAAGCCATTTCCAGATTCCCCTGAGTGTACTAAAAAGCCTGTAGCTGTAGGCATCTCCCCTCCCAAATCTGGGGATATAGTAGAGGAAAGCCAAAGGGGAAATGGAAAGGGGAGAGAAAAAAGTGTTATTTATTGGCAATCAGGAGAAATCTCAGTTCCTAAATGGTGAACTTAAAAATATAAAGGGTCTCAAAAGTTACTTGTTTTTGTTACAGTCTTCATTTAAACATTTTATGCACACTGTAATAACCTCTAAATTCTCAAGTGGAGTGGAAGAACTTTGCTGTCAAAGTTGGAAAAAAGAAAAAAATACCCTTGTGTAGGGAAACCAATTTAGCAGCCTGTCAAGATGAGCTGTAAAATACAAGTCTTGCCATAGTGATTTAAGGCTCCACAAAAACTAGGACAAATGAAAATATTATTATTTGCACTTCTTAAGAGTGTAAATGGAGGATAGGACTCCTGACTATCCAAGTTAACACAAACCATGAAAAAAATGGAAATTCTTTTCATAATTTGCTCATGGAATGATAATATTTTTCAGTGAGGTATTGATGTGTGTTCATAAAGTCTGAAGTAGAATAAACCCACTTAATTAGTGGAGGAGAGGAGCATAGAAGGACATAGCCACAAAAGTGATTTGTTTGCAAAATAACCTGAACATGCAAAGAAACTTTCTGAATTTACAGTAATCAGCTGTTTTGAATGGAAATATTCTATAAGCTTGTGAAAAACAGGGCAAACACTGGCTTGCCTTTTTTGGGAACATATTAATGTTAGTTTTCTTGGCATATGGTATTTTCCTCTCCAAAGTAAACTTACGGAGTAGCCGTGTTATTCCTTCCTGTTTTTTAAAATACATTTTGGAGATCTCAAATGCTCCTGGAACTTTGTTCCTGGAAGATGTGCTACAGCTGTGTGTCTGCCAGGCAATAGGCAAGGTAAGTCCTTACACCTGGTGTACTTGGAGCAGGTGAGTACTGAGTCAGCTGTGCTTCTGTTCACCTGTGAGTAATTATATCATCTTCTAAGGCTCCAAATACTACTGGTTTTTTAGAGATGATGAAAAATTAGATACTGAATTGTAATTTCTGCCTGGGAGCTGCATCAGAGATGGTTTTCAAATCCTAAGCAACCCTTCTCTCCAGTGAGATCTGGTTTGGGTTTTCGTGTTTTTTTTTTTTTTTTTTTTTTTAAATGAAAGGGAACTACAGGCAGGTGGTAGAAGGTACTCCCCTTCAATAGGGAGTATTTTCTTTTTAAATTCAGCACAGTAGTTTTGAATTCATGCTGTGTTGATGCAATGTTCAATAGAAAGGGCTTCATGATAACTGTAAATTAGGAGCAAGCACATAATTATATGTGATAGCTGATTTTTTGCAAGACATCTGTGTAGTTTGCATGGTTAAGTGTGAAGGATGGGCATGGAACTGTGAATGATCAAAACAAAATGAGACAAGCCATCTTTTCTAACACTAGTGTGGAACTGAGGCAGAGCTGACGACTGGTTTCATTTCTTTTTCTGTATTAGGGTGAATTTTTTGAGGTAGTTCATGAACAGTTGATGCCTGAAGTTGTTTGCATTTCCCATTGATCTGTGTGTACTCGGTTCATTTACTGTTCAAATCATCGCCTTGCTGCTCACAGCTGAAAGGCCCCGCTGCACCAGGAGCTCCTGCAGAGGCATTAACTCTTGCTGATCCCGTTCCAAAGCTGCCGAACATGTTTCCAAGGCAGGGGGAGCAAGGATGGGGAAGGGCATTCGAGGAGTATTTTGGCTGGTGAATCTCTAGTGACACCTTGTGGGATGTTTCACAGAATCGCCTTCAACTCTTTTTGGGAAGGAATAAACTGCAAGGCTTGTAAAAAGCTGCCCGAATAGTGAGATGCACTTAAAGCTCTGCACTCACCTATAATTAAAAATAAACGAGACGGGTAAAATTTCTCATGGTGAAGTTGTCCTTCCTTAGTCCATTGAGGTGTTAAACCGTTGGAGATATATATATATATATATATATAAAATGTGTATCTAGATAATATTATCCAGAAATAAAATTTAACTTATAGAAATAAACATATTCAGATTCACTTTCAAGTGAAACAATGAGACATGGAAATGTTGCAAATCAGTTGCACTGGCATGGTTTGGGTGTACTCACTACACAACTCATGGTCCTGCCTGGTAAAGGTTTGATGTTCTGAGGAAAAACTGGCCAGGAAAAATATCCCAAACAATTTTTAAAATGCTGTTCAAAAATGAGTTTTTAGAGAACTTTAATTGATATTTCATTATCCAATAATTCATTTTTAGAACCTTCTGGTGATTTTCACCCACTGATAAGATCTTTTTTCCTATTGAGTGATACTGGATAACTGTTTTGACTAGATGTGTTGAAAGGTTTTTATTTTTCTATTGCTTGCTCTCATTTTGTGGAGATGGCCAAGTCTGGGGGTAAACAAAATCTCCTGTAGAGAATGTAAAAAAATGGATCTCTTTTATGTTCTTAAAGTTCTGTGCTGGTTGCAGCTTCCCCCATCTGGCATTTCAAAATACCTTGCACTGGTCAGCAGATGAAACCCAGCTAAGCCTGGGGGAACAAAGCAGGTTTTTTTGATACAGACCAGTTTTTTTTAGAAAAATTTGAACCAAATTGAAATAATTTGAACAAAATAAAAATGAATTTTTATTGCGGGGCTTGTAGGTGTGGAGATTATAGCAGGAAAGATTGGAGATGTAGCAAGAAAAATTGCTGCATTAAGAGAATTTGAGAAAGAGGACTGAAAAGAGATTCAAAAAAGATTTCATGTTTCTTACTTGCTCAGAAGAATATTTCTTCTTCCTGTGCATAAGTATAATGAATGGAAATTTAACTTGATCCTTTACTGACTGAGAAGGAAGAATTGGAGACTTCTAGAAAATGTTGTGGGTTGTCTTCCAGCACAGCTCAGCTGAAGTGATTTTTTTTTTCTTTGTCTAAACACTCAGCCTTTCCTTCCCTTAAATGCCTGGTGCCTCTGGCTTTCTATCCCTCCTTAGCAACTGCAGGCTTCTGTGGAGTTGTGTGAGTAGTCCTTTAATTGGTGTCCTTGATTCCATTGAAGAGTGTTCTTTGTTTCCATGACTTTTCTATAGATGGAAGCACTGGACCAGCTGAGCCTGAGAAAGGTAAAAAAGGGTCTCTAACACCTGGATCTATGAGGCAGTCCAGAGAACCTCTTCTTTTCAAAGACTTTCCACAAAACTCTACTGTCAAAGAATAGCAGCTTTACAAAGGGGTGAGTTTGATCTCTAATTTATATAGTAATTAATAATACACAAACGATTTGGGGGAGGCTTTGGCCAGGTCTTTGCAGCTCCTGTGGAGAGATGAAGCTGTTTTACACCCCTTATATTGCTTTCCTTTTAATTCATGTATATTGATACTTCCTGCTTACTTCTTGCTTTCCATGCCTGGCACTTGAAAATGAGATATTTGAATTGCTGCTCAGTTTTGTGATGTTTTGTTTGCATGCAGATAGCACAGGGAAAGGGCAGAGGCAGAAGACAGATTGGCCTGCTGGTGTTGCCTCCACTTTCCATCTCTCTGTAGTGAAGAAAGAGAACTTTTGTAGCCAAGCTTAGTACAAAGCTGATACCTAAAGCAGCTCTTGTTGGGGGCTGAGTGCAGGAGGGCCTTGAAGCTGGGCAGCTGTCATTCTCTCCTGGACTGAAGCAGACAGGAGCTGTGACTTGGTGAGGTACCACTGTGGTCTGATGGCAGAACAACCCTGGGTTCAGGCTCTGCCTGCTGATCTTTCCCCAAAAAACGTGATGCTGCTGCAAACTTCCTGGTGTGCCAGTGCTCTGAAAGCCTCACCCACTGGGCAGCGCCCAGTTACCAACAATCCTGATTGCTGGCTGGCATCTGTACTCAAGGCAGGAGGCAGCTCCTTCCTAGGAGCAGCCTACGTAGGAAACAGCCCACGTAGTTTGCAACCACTCTCCTGCCTTCACTGTGCATGGAAGTTTATCTTTACTAGAAACAGTAACTTGAAAGTGGCCTTCATGCTTACTGAAAGCAGCAGAGTGCTTGGCTGTGACTCATGGAAGGAGCCCAGGTATTGGGGAATGATAGCATTTCCCTCTACTGCCTGGTCCAGCAGTTAAACCAAGCCTAGTTCTGTGTCAGGTACCATATTGAAGGTGATGTGTATGATGGCTCTGTCTCTGCCAGAATCCTGAATGAATCAAAAGCTCCAAAACCACTGCTGGCTGCTGAAAGCAGCTCAGTGTTGGCTCGGCTGGGTTTCAAAGTGAAGCTTCAAGCTCTGGTGTGTGTCTCATTTCAGTTTTAGAAGAACAAATCCAGTTTGGATTGTGAGCCTCCAGCTGAAATAAAAGCCATTTTTTTCTATAGTTGTATTGCCTCCCTGAAGAATCCTTAGTCTCCCTCTTTACTGTGATCTTTGATTTTTGCATCCTGTGACGTTCATTGGTGCTTTACTTCAGTAGGAAATCCCCTTTTTTTTAAAAAAAAAAGAAGCCTTGTGATGAGTCACTGCTGCTGTTTGCTTCAAACTGAAGGGGGTTCCAACTATGAAATTGTATTATTGCTAAAATAGAACCCTGTTCCATTGCGTAGGTTGCAGTTGAAAGCAGAGAAAGGTCTGGGGGAGTTGTAGGGTGAGCAAGCAGTGTTGCTGCTAATTTGTTTACTAGGGGCCTAATGGCAATTCCAGTAACAAGTAAGCAACTTAGGAGTCTAGTAGAGCAAAACCCATCTCTAGCTGAAAAGCAGTTCTGTATCTCTGAAGCTGAGCATAAAGAAGAAAAACAACCCCCAAACCATAATAGTTTGTTTGTTTCTAGCAAAGGCTATTAAAATCCATTCAGCAAGAAGCATAGTTTGGTTTGGGCTTTTTTGTGTGTCTGTGTATGTTCATTAGGGATTCAAAATTGAATTTCTTTAAGAATGGTTCTTTTAGATGTGGAAGATTGCTTTCAGTTTTCTTCCTTCATTATAAATCTGGCTATCCTCATATCTATATTATTGTTGGTTAAGCCCTGCTGCTTTAAGCTGCAATGTTCTGAAACCATAGTCTATCACTTTCTTTCATCTGAAGTAACTGCTGCAGAGCTCTGTCATGCTGGAGTTTTGACCAATTTCCAGATCCCTGTGTGTGCATACAGAGGATGGAGATTGTGATTTGAAGCTTACCTGTTAGGGATGCAGGTAATCTAGGCCTGCCCTCTGAATGCTGACTTTACACCCTCTTTCAGCTCTGGCTTTGCTTCCTTATTTTTAGAGTTCACTCAAGAACTTCTACAGGCTACACCAAAACAACCCCCCAAATTACCAGAGGCACCATTTAGAGGCATTTTGTATTAATGTGTTCAGTATTAAAATAGAGAAGGCTGTAGTTAGTGAGCATTGAAAAGGAACATGAGGCTGCTGATAGAGCCACAGTAACACTTGAATTTAAAGAGAGTCTCACTACTGGTTTTACAGCATATTGCTGGAAAGGAAATAAGTTAATAAAAGCCACAAAGATGTACAATTTCCCATGGCCTTTGACTAATGCTGTAAGAAAGAGAGCAGTTAAAAAAACACTCTGAGCTGAAGGTGGGGGGATTTCCTAAGGAAGAATGCTTAAGAATGCTTGGAAAGGGCCTTGCTCTGAACCAGACTGGGAGACACACAGTTCCTAACTTCCTGACTGGAGTGCCTGTGCTGAATGGGAGGACACAGCTCCACCCCTCAACCCCCAAAATGCCTTTGGGTTAGCATCTCTTCAAAGGTATTTCATGCTGAAGACTCAGAATCCCATAGCAATGCTCTAGAATGCCTGATTTGCTTGCTCTATAATGCCTGATTTGTTTGCTTGCCCTCAGGTAATGGTAAAAAAAGGCTGAATATGCTTTTTTAGTTTAGGTTGAACTAACCTTGAATGCTTGCAAACATTTAGAAGACTCACAAGTAGTAATCTATCAGACTCACAGACACTCTGTTGTAGTTTAAGGTTTCCTTCAAATAGGATGCACAGAGAACTGCAGAAGCTTAGAGTAAGGTCATGATTAATAGATGGATAAATATCCCTGCATTATAAAACAATCCTCAATGTTTAATGCTTTTCCTAGGTTATAATTGCTGGGGAAGTACATAAGGGAAGTAGAACTTTGTTTGCTACAACATTTCAGTGCTCCAAGAACTTGTTTTTTTCTTTTTTTTTTCTTCTTAAAGGAAAATGGAAAAATACCCCACCTTATCTCCTCTCCAGATAATGGCTTTTCCTTACATCATGTATAAAAATTAATCATTTTAACAACTTTTTTCTTTGCTGTTCAAAGAAGTTTTACATTTTTCTTCATTGTTCCCCAATGCCTATACACTGCCTCTGTCTATGTTTTATGAGTAAAATCTAAATAACACAAGGGTACAGTTTCCATAAAATTAAGGTAATATGAGGTGGAAATAGCAGCCTGAGATCAGGAGTTCCTTCATTTTTATAGTCCTTTTGGCTGGTAACAGGAAACAGCTCTAAGGCAGTTTGCATGTAGGATATATAGGAGTGTTTGCCTTTATAGATTTGTGTGTGTGTCTACAGGCTTATGTGATGGAGAGCTGCCTTAGGAATATTTGGATCTGGCTTCTAACAGCCAGAGAGCCCTCTCTTGTGTGGTTATTAGCTTTACCACACACTTGGAGAACAATATTGCAGCGTTGTAAGCAGATATTACTCTTGATTTCACAAAAAGGGAAAATTAGATTCATATGCTTCATGAGGAAGGTGGGGCAGACAACTTCTGCTTCAGTGCTATGGTGAATGCTGGTGCTTGTGGAAAGGTCATCAGATCCTCCAGAGAAGCTGGGAAAGAATACAGTTCTCATCTGAAGTGTAGATATATCACCTCTCCCCACTTTTCTCTCCTCCAAAGTGCCTTTCCTCCTGTCCACCAGCAGCCAGGATACCTCCTCTGAGGTAGCCTCACTTCTCTTTGCCCTTGCTCAGCTGCAAACCCAGGTGGAGGCATCTTCCTCTATTCAGCCACCTGTGCTGAGGACAAACAACACTATCTCTCACTGGGTCCATCAGAGTTATTTCCTTTCTTCCTTTTCTTACTTTGCTTCTTTTTTCTTTTTTGGGTTTTTAACTCAGACTCATGTTGTTGTCTGTCATTCCATTCTCAGCCCTGTCTGTAGAGCTATCCACTGTTCTGGGTGAACACAGTAGCTCATTGCATTCCATGCTGCTGAGATGAAAATCAGAGACCAGAAAAACTTAGTTTTGTGGTAGATCAAGTTGTTGAGAAAATTCTGAATCCTCTGGGATCTGTGTCTGATTTTATTTTTGCAGCTCAGCCAAGAAATAGCAAAACGCAGGCAAGTGCCTGCAACTTGCAGGTTTTGGCAGTCCCTGAATCTAGGTGAAAATGCTTTGCTTCCTGCAAAAATATCATGTCTCCATATAGTAAAGGTCACTTTTCTGTCAAACCACTAAATGTTGCTTTAAGATTTCATTGACGTAGAGAGTAGTAAATTTAGAATAGCTCCAGGGCTGACTTTCCTCTCTTGGTAATTGGCAAGCAGGTGAAAATGTGTATGGATAAGGAGGAAATCTCTTAGAAGTTGGTGCTGAAAGAGAAGATGCTTTCTTGGAGGAGTTAGACACTGCTTAAAATTAGATTTAATTCCAATTTGGACCAGAATTTAAACACTGTAGTCCTTCAGTAAAAAATGTAGGGGTGGAGACCAGTGGGTGGGAAAACAGCTCAAGATGGTCTTATTGCCAAGAAAAGAAGTTTTGTAGTCAAACCTTCCTGACAGTAAGCTGCATGCTTAAAGTTTGTGGGATTGACAAATGTCATGAAAGGGATGTTCCCACAAACACAGAAAAGAGATGTTCCCATAATCCCACAAACTTTGTTCCTGCTGGAACCTGCTGCTGGCCTGATGTAAAGCCTGTTTTCATACTTGATGTTTTATCCATTTCATGAGCATATTCAGGAAAATCCAGTGAATTAGCATAATATATTTGAGTAAAAGTAAAGAATTCATTGAATCACCACCTAAGACCTCATAAAGGAACTGTGACATTTCCATTTTTTCCATAAGGAAGAGAGATTTTGTTGTAGGTGGTCTCCTCTTCACAGCTAAGCAGTAAAGCCACACAGTGAGCAGGAACAAAATGGGTGGGAAGTGCCTTGACTTTTAATACATCTCAGGCAAAAGCTGTTTTAGTCCAAACTAAAATCAAAGCAGTTCACTACAATTTAGGGTAGAGCTGGGCAGCAGCATCTCCCTCCCTCAGAAAGCCACTCCTGTGAGCACAGAAATATATTTTAATAGTATATGAAGAGCAGATAAGAGATAATCTCACCTTTAAGTGTTTAGTTCACCTCAAAAACCTGACAGCTGGGACTGGCTGTCTCCCTGTTCCCTCTTGATCTGGGGCATGTGAACCTGTTCAAGACATAGGTAAGTAAAAAAGAGCAGCCAACCTATTTGTGAGTGAAGAAGAGAGAATTTTAGCTTGAGAGAGCCCTGAGTGCGTGGGAGCAGTTCTCATTTGTGCCCCAGAGAGAGAGGACAGCTGCAGACAGCCAGGGAACAAGTAAGGCTTGTGTGGAGGACAGCAGAACAATCTCCTAATGCCCTAAGTGTGGTATCAAAATGTCAGCTTCATGCTAAATCTCAGAACATTTCTGAGCAGCAAATCTGTCTTAAGTTGCCTCTCCAGAATACTGGAGTCCCAAAATGTTTTGAGCACTATTGAAATTGCTTCCCCCACACCCCCCCAGTCTTCTTTCTTCTTTGTAATGCTCTTTTCTCCCCTGAATAATACTTACATGTCAATTAAGCACTTTACAAGTCACCAAGGATCTGGTACTTTAAGCTGTTGTCTTTGCATTATATTAAATTTTCTCTAACTCATTTCCTTATTTTTCCCCTGAGGGAAGCCCCTAAACAAGCAGCTCTTCAGTGGACAATAAAACAATTTGAATGGCAGCCATCCAACCTGGCCTTTTTCTAGGTAAGTGGTTTGGGTATGCCTAAGAACCAATGAAATTTTTATCATTCAGTTTTGTGTGGTGTAGCCAAAGGGGTTTTCTTCTGAATGGGGGCAGTGGGAAAGTCAGGTAAAAAGGTGATTTCTGCTGTACCCCCACAGTTTTCCACTGGAGGTTAAATGAAAGGGCTCCCCCTTCAAATTTTCCATTGACTGCTTTTCTCTGCCTCCACCAAACACTTTGTTGTGCCTGCCTTGCTGTGCTGAAAATGTCATTACTTTCGTATCACCAATGTTTACAGGAGGTAAAAAAAGAAAACCCTCTAATTGTTTGAATCAGGAGGGCTGTGAAGCTGCTGTTAACAGGAAAGGAAGTGCCTACATGTTCATCTCCTCTTCTCTGGAAGCAGGAAGGATGCTGTGCCCTGTTAACCTCTGCTGCACAGATGGAGCATCACATCCCTGCCTGTGCCTGCTTTGGGCATGGCTGGTGCTTGGAGTAGCCCAGCAGAACAGGAAATGCCCAGGCTCAGAAGAACTCCAGTGAAAATATTTGTGGTTTGCATTTTATTCAGGGAATGCTTCCCAGAATCAATTTTCATCTTTGGTCACTTCTCTTAGCTCGTGGAATGGCATAAAGCACCTGACCTTAAAGCCTTAACAGTCCTGGCTTTTCCTTGTCCTGCATGAGAATGAAAGTGGCTATTCCTGGTGTCCCTGGCAGAAACCACAGTGGTTCTTTGAACAGGTGATGGGTAATAAACCCAGGACTCGCACCCATGCAAAGTTTTAGTTTAGCCCCGTCACTGTTGAGCTGACAGATGATGACAAAATGACAGCCATGCCCTGAACTATTTCCAGTCCCATTGCAATTAAGCATGTTGATCAGTCCAAAGGTGAAAGCTGTGTTGGAGTGCAGTGGAAGCCAAAACCATAGAAGGCTAAATTCACTGTATTCTGTGTGAATGCATTGCTGAGTAATATTTCATGCTATTCCCTTCTTATTCAGTTATCCAGTGGGAAAAGCATTTTTCTTCAGGGGATTACCTCTTGGCTTTGATTTCTTTTGCTGCTTGGATTTGAGTATGTGTCACTCACCTCCCAGCACTTTGCTACTGAGCCTTTGCTGGGTTTCCAACATCACCTGTTGAGGCTGCTCAGCTTTTTATAAATACTTATGTAAAATTAAACAAGAGGTCAGGGTAAGAACAAATGACTGATGTGGAGCTGAGTGTATAGGATGCTGTTCTGAGAAGTGGAAGATGTTGGTGCTGTTGCATTTTTTAAAAAATCATTTTATGCAGGCAGCCAGTAAACCTGATCTCTTGTTGGTAAATGTGTGAACCATCAAACTGAAGTAATTAATTTTTGTCTGAGAAAGTGACAGTAAATGCTTCATATAGAGGGGAAGACTATTATTGCAAAAGACTGGAGAAATCATCCTGCATCTCCAGCAGTTAAAACATTGATCCAGGAGGTACAAACACAATTAGACTCCCTTCAGAGAAAGGCAGGGGAAAGAATTGGACCTTAGTTTCTAACATCCTGATCCTAACCCTGGCCTGTTGTTTCCTCTGTTATAATTGCAAATGCCTCCAGAATAGTTTTGTTTGAACAAAGTGCAGTGAATTGAACATGAATTTGCAAATGACTGCTCTCTGTGTGCATATGAGGAGCTGAGTAAGTGCTTTGACAGAAAAGATCCATCCTGCTCTCCTGAGCAGCTGAGATATTTCTGCTAGGAGGATGGAAATAGTCTCAGGGCAGTTAGATCATGAGTGTTACAGCAGGAATCTCCTAAAAATCTCAGCAGGGTTTTTAGTCCTCGGTGCAGAGCTGCACAGGTTTTGTTGTCATCAAAACCGAAACTGATACACCGATCAGACTTAGAGATGAGTGTTTTTCTGAGCTTACCTATCATGAATCTTTCACTTCTAGGTAACAGCACGATAATTTTTATCATCTGTGAAACTTGACTAATCAACTCCTGTGTGCAGTGGGCTATAGCCTGGAATGAATAGTAGATTCTTGAAATAGTAGATTCTTGAAAATGCTGCATCACTTCTTGTCTGGTGAGGGGGAGACATTTCTGAAGCCTTCACCTCTATGTGTGCTCTTCCTCAGAATGAAAATCAGATATGATAGGGTGGTGTTTCTGGTCAGGGACAGAGCTGAATGTCACTGCTGATGAGGAGACTGTAGCTGGTCAAACTGAGCACTGATTCTGTAAGGGAAACCTTTAGAATAAATTCTAAATAAAAATACATTCCTAGAAATGGCTCCCTGACCTATTTGGCCCTTACAGTAAATTATTTTGCTTCTAGATTGATGTTTGTGTTCTATTCAATTGGAGTTGATGCAGCTTTTCCACCGTGCTCGACCACCACTTTTCCCACAGAGCAGCTCTTGCTGACGCGTGGGCGAAGCGTTGTGTCACTGTTCCGTGCTAATCTGAAGAATGAGAGGGAATCCTCTGTGGTCTCTTACAAGCACTGCTTTCAAGTAGGTCTGTGTGGGCTGTGTTTGAGAGAGATGAATGTGCACTCAATGGTAGAATGACTTTAGGAAAGGGGTTTCCCTTAAGCCTGGGGTGTAGGTTAAACCTTGAGATATATATACACAGATACACTTTTGCCTCCAAACCACTTAGTTCTCATTTGATTTAGACAGCCTTTATGTGAGACTGGGATGTCCTAACCTGGCAGTGCAGAGACGGACACCTTCCCTAAATATGGTGAGTAACATCTGCATTCGTTGGAAATTTGTACTGGTAGGTCTCTTCCCAGCCTCAGAGTGAAGTCATGTGCCTCTTTTCCCTTCTCATCTACCAAAAAGCCCTAAAATTCAAAACCTGATATTTTAAAGGTTTGTTTTTTCCTAAGTGGCTTTGTAATTTCTTTCTACTGTTTATATAGAATGACTATAGGAATGTTCTTTTATTTACTCTTCCTGAATAAAGTTGGACAATGAGAAGTACAGCGATAGTAATGGAAGTATTGCCATATATGTTACTGACTATATTAAACAGGTTTTTTGGGGTAAATTTAGTGCTGCAAAGATTCAGTGTGCCTATACTGGGTTTGACAAAAATCCCTCTTTTTTTGATAAGGTTTCTGCTGAGAACTTGGCAAGTTTCATCTGTTCTATTGAGTTTGGGATGTTCCCTGAGCTACTGGCCCTGCCTGGAACAGGCACAGGATTCCCTTAGGCAGTTCTATCATTAGGACATCTACTACAAATTACTTTCTATAATCCACATAGCATTTGAGAATGGGCTAGTTGATATTTTGCTTGCCTTGTGGCTGTAAATTGGTTTTAAAGCTGCACCTCGGAAGTTTTTATGCATCCTAGCCTTGAGTAAGGAATACTTGGAGCTGCAGTATTACAGCCTCCTTTTTCCAGGGCCTGTGTTGCTTGCTGCCAGAGGGCACATTTCTGTTTGTGCTGTGGCAGCTGTAGGAGTTCCAGACTGTTCTATCTCCCTCCCAAAATGAAACAAAAGTTCTCATCTTACCTTGGCTCAATTCTGGATCCTCGTGATATGCTGCTGGCAGAGTCCGAATTTCTGGCAGCGGCACTACCACATATCCAGAATGGGGGGGGGTGCTGGAATCTGTGGAAAACAACATATGCTTCTGAGTTGTTTAGGACTGGTGTTCCTGCCAGCCAAGCAATGCCAAGTTTTTGCTACTGGCTGCTTGCATTGTTCCTACCTTTCTGTGGGCTCTTCTTTCTCCTTTGGTTTTTTGTTGGATTTTTTTTTTTTGTCATGGGTTTTTGAAGATTGTTTGGAGGACGTGAACCTTACAGAGCTGCATTCCTCTTCTAAATCAACTCTTCTTGTCTTCTCGCTGTTAAGTTTCCCTTCTTTTTGGTGCATGGCTTTTTGTAGCTGGGGCTGCCGGTACCTTTTTTTAACACGTGGCTCCTGTACTTGGAGCAATCTCCTTTCTGCTACTCTTTTATATCCTACCTCCTTATACTGCACAGATTTAATTCCAAAGTCATGGAGTTGATACTTCCTAACTTTTATCTCTTGGTTTGGATTATATGAGAAAGTTTCATCCTTTCCTGTCAGGACATCAGTTTTACTGCAGTGACAGCCCTGTTAAAAATTGTTCAGCAGAAGCCCCACATTCTGGGTGCTATCAATGAATATCATAGTTATTAATCTTGCTTTTATCCTGCAGCATTTTTCCTTTTCACTTCTGTATTTTATCTCTCTGAAAGCTTCCCATCCATGCTTTGGTAGTGAATAATAATAAAAAAGCATTTTTGCACTGCATTATTTACAGTTGACATTTAACAAATAAGTAAGTACTTTTGTCCCATCTTGCCCACCTCCAAATAATTTTTTGAGCAAATTAAAGTTGGACACAGATAATGAGAAAATAGCATTGAGAAGGTATTAATTGTTGAGGGCTTTATTTTATCAAAATATTATATAGTTTTTAAAAAATTAATTTGTATTCTATTAACCATTTGCTTCCACAGAAATTGTGTACAGTAAGTGTGCTCAAAGTGTTGTGGACTTTGTACCCAGACCTCTGCTCACTAATTGGCTTTAGCTGAACTGAATATTTGCCACGAAGACAAGATTTCTTCTAAATGTATTAAAAATGAGGAGTCTCAATTTTGACAGGAGAAGTACTGAGGCTGTTTTGAGGTAGGCTGTGTGTGACTTTGATGGCTCAGTGAGATGATATTTGCAACTTCCTCTGGTCACTTCTTATGTGACTCTTTTGCATGTTGGAAGTGTGGTCATGATATTTTTGGCACTGAGCTCGTGTTTTGTGGCCTTTCAAATGAGCCTGTATGCTTTAAACTCACTTGTGCAGGTGCCTGTGTGGAGTGGCTGACATGGTGAGCCAAATGTAAATGTGTAAAATGTAAAACGTGTGTCACCCGAGGCTGAGCACAACTGTGGTGGCTTTTTGGTGTCATTTGTGCAACTGATTTCAACTTTAAGAAGGAATTTATGCTCATTGGGGAATCATCTTCTGACTTAGATCTTCTCAAGATCTTCAGTCCAAAGATGTTTAGAAATTTGCTTTGGCAAAGTGAGAAACATACCTACAAATTTGTTTTGTCTCAGTTCCAATTCAAGAAACAAGTGTTGTATTGATTTTTAATAAGTTCCTGTTGTTTAAAGCAGTGTTTTGCACTCACCACTGACATGAATTTGTGTGTGTCAAGAGGAGCATTTTCACAAACCCAGTATGGGCGAGCATAGCCCACACTGTTTATCAAGTTGTGGATATCACAGCTCCATGAGAGGGCATCTGGAAATTAAATTCTTTCCGGAACTGCTACTCAAAATCTACCTTAATCGAGGAGAATTGTCCTTAATATGGAGATTAGCTTAAGGTATTCAGCACTAAATCTTCCTGCCTCACACAGGGCAGGTACCAGTTTCATTTTGTCCAAATTAAATTAGGCAAGACAAAATTATATACTCTAGGAAACTATCTACTTTTTATTTTTGGCTAAAATCAAGCTTTGGATTTAAAATTTTACTTAGGAACTGTCTTATATTGAAGTTTCAGCACTTCATCAGGAAATAACAGGTGGAAGAGAAAATTGGCAGATCTTGCTGTGTTTGTGGCTTTTTCTAGGCAGCATTTGAGTGTATGAAGCTGCATTTTCAGCAAAGGGCAGACAGCCATGCAGGATAATGGCTGGCTCAGGTGCTACTCTGAAAACCAAACCTGAGAAATATCTAGGTAGGGGGAGACGGCAGAAATGTTCTATGCTTGATTTCTTCATGCCAAAAAATATTGAAGGCTTTATTCTCATTTTTTATTAGTTTCAGTGAGTGTTGTTTAGGCTCTCTTTCACCAAATGCTCTTTTATTTCTGTGGTCGTTCTTCCATTTTGATCACATTTACTGTAATAATGCATTTCTCCCTCCCACTCCACCTACATGACAGCCACACACAAATAATGTGTAACCTGCTGGCTTGTTTATCAACAGCACTGGTGATGCTGTTTGTTCCATTTAGTTTTGGAGCTATTTTGCAAAATGGGTAATGCTTAAATGAGGTAAATTTAATCAGCCTGGCTGTGACAGGCCCTGCAACTTTCACAACAGAAAAATGTGTATTACTGGAAAGGTAACTTAATGAGTGGGTTCATTCCTTGTGTGAATTTTGTTAGCATGTACTTTAATTTACTTGGCATATTGTTTCTTTTCTGTTCTCTCTACTGGGACAATGTCTGGCAATGGTGGTGATCTGTAAAATTGAAGCATGGAGTTGAACTAGGCAGGAAAACCAAACCAAACAACACCTTCCCTCTTTTCTGTGCTTTTAGTCTGGCTCATCTCTGGCATTCATTTTACATTGCATTGGTACAAATATTTGCTTTGGTACAAATGAAATAAAAGCGAATTACTGAGCAAATTTGGGTAAAATGAGCAAGGGTTTTGAAACATCCGATGCTTCTAAGCTAGAAGTAGACTTGGGGAAAGAAAAAGAGAATGGGGCAAGAGCAGTGCAGGATTTAACATTTACAATAAGGATGTTTGTGAAAAGCACTTTGGAAAATATTTTGAAACACCAGTGTGATGAGTGCCTCTCTGGTTGTAATCAATTTTACAGTTAAGATTCCATTAGAATTAGTGAGTCTCATTGTCTTTCTTGAATAATGTAATTTTTTTCATCCCCAGATGTGTTTTTTCAATGTGGGAAACTTGTTTTTAATGCAAATTAATACTCCGGCCAAAAAAGTGCCTTTTTGACCTATTCTGGGTGTATCTCCAAAATACTTAGGGCTTGGAGCTGTGATAAATTTGGTGGGTGAGCACCAAGGAAATTCTGCACACTTTTTAACAAACATTTCCAATTATTGCAAAACCCCATAAATCTGTGAGCAGGGCTGATTCTGTTTTACTTCAGGGTGTTCCTGTTCTTAAAAGCCTTGACAGAAAGCAGAAAATTTATGCAATTCTGGGCAATCCTTTACATGACCATTACAACCCTCTCTTTTACAGAGCCTTAATTCTTTGAAGTAGCTGAATTTTATCCATCTCAGCTTCAGTCTGCCAGATCTAATAAAAACCTACAGCATTACATTGCATATTATGGTTGTAAAAACTTCTGGTTGTCCTAATAACAAACACTTGCATGGGCCACGAGGACTGGGTCGCATCTCTTTCGTTCAGGTTCTCAAGTGGAGGTTTGGATTTCAGCTGCAAAATCTGCATATGACTAAGAGTCAGGAGACCTGCACAACGTCCCCCACCCCAGCAGCGTGAGCAGCAGGGCTTCTGGAGAAATGCAGGTTTATGCTGCCTGGGTGTGCAGCTGGGCCATGCAGGGATGTGGGACTCGTCCGCTTTTAGCAGCTTTTTCTGTGTTTCCCTGGCTCAGTGGAGCAGGAACACAGAAAACCCAGGGTGCCCTCACTGCAGCCCCAGAGAGCTCCCCAGCAGGGCCCCCAAATCTGTCTCACACTGCAGAACCAGGAAAGAACAAAATAACTGAATAAATATATTCTTGTTCATTCACCACTGCTTTTCTCCTTTCCAGTTTTTCAGTATGTTGCTTTCTTCTTACATGATTCTTACCAACATGGGTGTCATATTTTCAATAACTTTTAACCTGCATCCCTTTAATGTGGGCTGCAATACTGTGCCCAACTTGGAAAATACATCTGAAACTGGTGAAATGTCAAAGCTCAGTGGGACAAATTAGGGCTGGAGTAGCAGTCTGAATTCTCTAATGTTCTGGGTCAGTTTTGGGTTTTTTCATTCTGCTTCCTTTTAGTCATTTTGCTTTATTTTTTTGTTGTTGTTGTTGTTTCAGTGGCAGTAGAGTGTTCATTCCAGGTCAATATTTTTCAAATTTTATATCTAGTCAGACACATGCAAGCCAAGTTCAGGCCCTCCAATGTAAGGCTTAATCCTCACTAGTCCCCCGTGTCTGCTGCTCCCATTGAAATCAATCAAATGCAGCTTTCCATACTTCAGTGTGATTGTGTTATGATTAAACAGACACTCATAAAGCTCAGAGAAGCTGGAATCAGGTTTCACATGAAACTGAACTAACTTTTTTTTCTTAATAGGATCCTTGTAATTAGTGATTACCAGATGCATTTAGAACATGTGAAATGCCTGCAGGAATTGGAATTAAGAAGGGGGGGGGATGCCAAACACCTCAGATCTTCTGCTGGCAACCTTTCATTTTAAATTTCTGCCTTGCACATAGATGAAGCAGCATGGTTTCTATAAAATGTTCAGCTGTGGTTTCACATTAAGTTGATGTTACCAGTAAGGAGAGTGACTTGTAATTGAAAACTGATTTGCTTATAAATAGCAGGTTTAGCTCTGGATGGCTCCCCTCTTCATTTCAGTGGTCACCTTGCTGTCCTTAAGATAGGTCTTATGAAACCTGTCAATTTTCAGTTCTAGCAACTACCATAATGATGTTGTTTGATCTAAAGAGAAGAATAAGTCTTCTGGGCTCCTTTTCTGATGAATTAGAGGTGTCTGAGGAAACATACCCTGAGCTGTCACCAGCCTGCAGCACAGGAGCAGAATGATTCCTCTGGACAAGGTGATGTTGGGTCACTCTTTGTCCAATCTTTTCTCCCACTTGAGAGGGAGATGTGGTGATTGCTTTTTTCATGTTTGGAGGTCTAATTCAAAAATCTCCAGTTTCAAGGGATTATCTTAAGGCGGACTGCTTATTGTTACCCTGTAGCAGCCCTGTTCTCTGGGAGCTTGGTTTGGGATTTTTTATTTGTCTCCCTTCTCTTTGGAAATACAGTGCTGGAGAGTAACTTGCCTGACCAGAGGGAAGCTTGTTAGGAGCCTGTGGAGTGCTTGAACAACACAGTCATTCTCAATAACTTACATTTGGCTCCTTTTCTCTCCAAGTGATTTAGATCAGAGTCATTACTCAAATTCTCTTAATTTTGGAGCAGTAGTTTTATTGGGCACTTCCATGAAGCATAGGAATTTTTTGGACAATGTGAGGACACGCTTGAATTCTAGAGTATGAAAAAGTAATTGATTCTTCTAGGATGATTAGTAAAAGCCTTTTTTGCAGCCCTTCCAATGTTCCTGCAACTGCTGGCAGCTTTGCTCCTTGGGTAGATTTTTGTCACTACAACCAGAGATTGTTGCTGCTCCTGCCCTTACAGAACTGTCCCTGACACAGTGGTGGACTTAATAGAGGATGGTGCTGGGAAGGAGGAAGCAGATTCCTGGCTTGCTTGCCAACCAGTTGTAGTTTAGGAAGAATAAAATAGAAATACAAGACACTGTTATCTGTTCCCACTGTAATTGGATACTTAACTTTTTCTTCTTAGACTGTTGCTTTTTTTTACTTTCCTGTTCCTAATAGATTCACTGTGAGGAGCTCAAAATGAAGAAGAAAGATGCAGAGGATTGCATGGAGCTGTGCCCCCATCAGTGTGTCGAGATGGAAAGGTACTGTGTTAATGTTACATGGAAAAACTTTGTTAAAATTTTTTTGAGCACCTGCAGTTTCACAAAGTAGTATTAGTCCTACTGATGACACTGACAGTATTAAGTATGATGCAGTGAGTGTCCTCTGCCTGGCAGCCTCTACAGGCAAGGAGCTGACCTGACTTCAAGAGCTGTCTGTCCCCTGTCAGCTACTGTATGTTACATTTCCTGGCTGCATTTCCAAATGGTTTTCATCTGTCTGTCCTGCTCGTGCTGTTAGTAGATCACTGCAAATACCTCAGCTCTGTGTGGTAGACACTGACTCAAATGAATCATGGGCTTGTTTTCCTCCAAAGGCTCAGCCCAGCTGTGAGCCCAGCTCAGCAGGGCACTGGTGAAGCATCCCCATCCTGGCCCAGGCTAAAGTAGGAAGCAGGATGGGCTGCTTGTGGTGATTCCTGATTTGAAGAGAGAGGAGTGGTGTCAAGTACCAGTTAAAAATGTCAGCTCTGTGTAACTGTACTGCATCTGAGTCACAGCTTTCCAGAGGAACCAGCACGTGGAAGATGTGAACAGACTCGTGGGGCTCCAGCTGAATGTGCAGGGCAAGCAGCCAGTCCAGAAGGGGCCATGGGAGGGAAACCATTCCAAAAAGGCACGTACTGAGGCCAGCAAAGTGCCCTGAAAGGGGCACAACCTTCTCTAGGCATTGATCTCCATAGAAAGAGTGAGCACTTGAAAACATCTCTATTTGCCTCCCTTCATGTCCTTTCAGCTTTCAGTTCTTTCAACACGTTCCTGGCACCTCCCCACAGCTTTCTGCATGTGTGCCTTTTAGTGGGGGGGTTCATCTGCTCAGACAGCACGTGCTGCTTGGTGGCTCTGCTTGGCCAAGCTTTCCAGTTGATTGATTTTCATGGCAGAAAATCAATTCCCTTTCCACTGGTGATCCACACGCAGCTACGTGAGGCCTTGGGGCTGAGTCTGGGTGACAGTGCCCCACTTGCTGCCTCTCCAGGGAGACAGTTGTCTGCAACTCACTCAGGGCTCTTTTGAAGCCTGGGAAAGTTGGTGGAAATAATTTAATTGGCTTTCCTGAGGTTTGAATGCAGCCCAAATGCTGTCCATCAGGAAGACAGTCAATGTCTTGGTAGTATAATGAAGTGGAAGATCCAAGTGAAAGGGGGATGATGCTCTTTTTGGGAAACTTCCCAAGGGACAGGAATATCCAAGCACAGAGCGAACAGCACCGTGTGATAAGTAACATCATTTGATGCAAGCCAACAGCCATGGTCGTCTTGCATGTTGCAAATTTCCTGAGGGGAGTAGTCAAACACTGAGAGACACTGTGTGCCTGTACATCACTAGCTTTCCTTCTCCTCACTGAGCTGGGTGGGATTATAGGTGCTGCTTCACTTAATCACTGGGCCTCCCCCCTTTTTTTTTTTTTATGGCTTGTTTTCAGAGAGAACCAGATGTGTTTCCATTAAGAACATGCCCCCCTTTTGTTGTCATTTGTGTAATTCTTAAAATTAAGCAAAAGTATTAAGGAGTAATTGTTTCTGCTCACATTAACAGCACACAGCTTCTCCAGATGTGGCATTTGACAGCCCAACAGCTGCTGGCTATTAAATGGGCCTTAAAAGGCCCATTCCTTTGTTGTAAAGGGAACAGAAGTGTAGGGACGTTTATGGGGTGAGAGGCAGATGTTTTGGCTACATCAGATTTGAGGGAAAGTTTTAAGTGGTTTCTCTGCTATGGTCACAGTGCATGTTTTAACCCCTATCATACACCTTATGGAGCTCTCTTCTTGGCACTGGGATGAGATTATTCCTAATCCCACACTGACCTCTGGGACAGAGCAGTTCTGCCAGGTAGATCTCAGATTGTACTTGGCTGGCTTTCCAGCTATGCTCTTGAAATACTGGATAAATTTTTGGGGATGAAACTCAGGATGAAATATTAAGCTAGAAACAATTTGAAATAATGTGTTGCCTTATTTCCACCCCCCCCCTCCACCCCCCCCAAACTCTCTTTTCAAGTATCTACTCATAACCATCAAAGGCAGGTGTGCTTTTTGTGTTTGTCCCAGCACAGTATGTTTTATGTCAAATAAACTATTTTTTATGGTGGTACATGTGAGGTGGAACATGGAAGGAGTGGAGCTCAATTTCAAAAGTTCTGGCTTAAATTCCCAAGCCTAAACTTTGAGTGGAGTGTTGAGTACTGGAATAGCACCACTGGTCCTTAGGGAGCTGCACCATTTTTTAACTATTCTCTATCAACTCAGAGTCTGCTAAACTTCTAAGAGCTCACAGGGCTGCAAAATTTTTTCAGTAACAGAAGTATTTTTGTCTTCTTGGCAAAATTTTATTCTTCCTATTTCTTATTAGACTGGAAATTCTTTGCTGTTTTTTGGTCTTAACTGGAGAAGATTTCAATATAAAAAATCCCAATGTATTTGCATGAAAAAAAAATCTAAGAGTTCTACAAAACTGAATTAAAAGAGAGCAAAAGTTCTACAAAATTACATTGAACATAAGAGAATAGGCTTGTTCTACGCACAGACTGTCATTTTAAAGAATGATATCCCTATTTTTATTCTTAAGTCTATGTATAGTGCAAGTTAGATTAAATATTCTGTAATTCAATCTGATTCTTCTCCTAATTCTACAGGCCTTTTACTGACATGAAGACTATTATCATAAATAAGAGAAATATTAGCTGAAACAATTTTTCTTGAAATTTGGCACATTTTAAATTTATCTGACTAGTTCTTTCTCCGTAATTCAAATGCAGAAATTTCTTTTTTTTCATGAATTTACTTCCTAGGCTTAGCCAAGCAAGAATCCTATATCCCAAATGCCCACCCAAGGGGATAAAGCACATGTTTTACCATTAAGCTCTGGAATTAATTTCCCATCAAAATATGGCTCCATGGTGTTGGCATCTGGCTGTAAATCCTGGCTTAAAGCCTTTTTTCACAATTGTTTATGGTGTGTATTTGTGCTTTCACCACCACAAGAAAATGACCCCAGCACACCAGCCTTGAAATTAACATTCCAAATAGAATTCTCTGGCTTTGGTATTAGTATTGTGCAATAAATGCCTCGGGACATCTTGTAGGTATGTCCATTGTTGCCAAGTAACTGCTATGAGTAAGGAATAATGCCAATTTCCAGTAAAAAGCGGGGAAGGCCAAGAGATGCAAAACTAGGATTGTTATGGAGCTTCTACCTTCTTATTTGAGGAAATTCTATTTTTCAGCCTTCAGTGTATGCTGCTCAAGCCCAAAGCATAGGGCTGATCATGTTCTGGCTCTCCACTTAAAAATGGAATTGCTGTAAAAAGTATGCAACCATTTATAAGCAAACAATCATTATTACTTAGAGCATTATACTATTATAAATAATATCAAAAACTATAAATAGATAGGCCAGTGGAGCCTAAAAACCGAAGTGGTGCAAAGATGTACCATGGAGCAAGAAGTAAAAACCATTTTAAAGGCAGCAAGTTGAACACAGTGGAGAAATGAATATAGCTTTATTGGAGTGCACAGTGAAGTTCTGCAAGGATATGATAACTTGAAAACCAAAGGGACACATTTCATTTTTTATTTTTGGAGGACATGGCTTTTTTATTTAGATATGACATGGAAATTGTGAGGAAGGTTGGGCTCTCTTCTTTCCCTGCAAGCTGCTAAAACTTGTGCTGGGAGGCCAGCTTCCTTCCCTACATCTGTATGTTCTGCTACCATGTAAAATATTTTAACTAAAAAAAAAAAAGGAAATTTTGCAACTAACCCGAAGTTTACTAAGAAGAGTTAACATTCTAATCTTTTATTGCCTCCTGCTGTAATCACAGCTTGCTATATGTAGTTTTTATATATTTGTATACTTTAGAATGCTTTAGCACGTAGAAGGGATATACTTTGTCTTGTATGACCACAGAAAAATGCTTTTAATATTTTCTGAAGATTTTGATGGTGCAGAGATGTACCTGTGAACTCCAGGAAACCAAAAGCAGTTTTGGAAACTGTTCTGTGCAGAATCTGAATGCTGTGTGCCCTCTAGAGCTCTCTGGGGGAACCTCAGGTAGTCAACTGGTCCTGGCCTGGGGTAGTTGCTAATCACGAGTCCCTTGATATATTCCAGCACTGAGAGCATCTGTGTGCTCTGAAAGTCCAGATTCCAAATCACATCTACACAGCAGATCTGATTAATGTTCTAGCTTACCATAAATGTATCCTTCTGATTATCAAAGTGGCTGATAATAAAATGCAGATAAATGCAGTAATAGTTTCGCAGTCTAAAAATGAAGTAAATTTCTGACTTGGATTATGGTCTTCAAACACAGAGCAGAAATTGGTGTGTAGAGATCTGAGCCTTTTGTAGTTCTCTTTCTTTTACCCAGGCACAGTTGGGTCCTGCTCTTGCCCAGGTAAGTCCAGAAAGAAGAATGTAGGGAGAGACAAGGGTAGGAGCAGCCAGAGGTGGTTATCATTTACAGCTACAACATCAAACTGTGGTGAGCAGAGGAATGAACACTTCCTGGCTGAAAAAAGATATCAAAAGCCATGTCCCCCCCCACCTTGTTTATGGTGTATTTCTCAGCTTGGTTCATGTTCTGACCTCAGGAGGTTGTGGTCACACATCTCTACTTGCAGTGGCTGAACCAGCAGCAGAGCTGAGTGCAGCCTGCCTTAAGCATTTGCTGCTGCACTCCTGCTAGATTGCTGCTCATCTTTTACTGTCCCCAGGTCTGCACCCAGGCATTGTTCCTTTATTCGGAGTATTTTTTTCTTAGGCTTCGCTGCTTCATTTGGCCTAAAATACTTCAAAAGCACTGGCTACGCCTCCTGAGCTGGGGGTGAAGGTTGTGCTGGTAACTGGGGGTGGTAAATTGCAGCAGCGAGTGGCTGCTTCCGTGCTGTGGCTTTTCATTTCTTCTGAGCAACCTCGGAAGCAGCAAGGGCTCTGCCCAGGGCATGTGCACCTCTGTTGCACAAAGCTGTCTCAGATGGCATCAGGAACTGGAGTCCAAGTGGGCTGGAGGTGCTGTTTTCCATGGAAGTGCACTTGAAAGTGCAGAGTGCCTGGCTGCTGCCTGAGGCGTGGGAACCTCAGCACAGAATTGCTTATAACAAGTGCCCCTTGCCCTGGCTTATCCAGGATTTTGCAACATTTAGCCAGCCAGAGAAGGGCTGGATTTCTGTTGCAAGGCTCGTTGCTCTCCTGCCGCAGCTTTCTCCTTGGGCTGCCACACGGTGCCCGTGCTGCTGCTGGGGCTCACCTGGCACCCACGCACAGCTGAGCCTTTGGATCCTGCAGCTGCAGTCTCCTGCACCACCGTGCAGCTCATGACAATGTGCCTTGGGAAGGTCTTGCTTTTAATCCTCATGGCGATGAAAGTGCAGCTTATCTAACTGCCAGCAGCAAGTCAAAGAAAACCCCCACCAACTCCAGAATTTCACTAGCCCTTATTTGCTACTCTTGGTATTTTATTTCCTCTTGGAAATGATTTTGTATCCAGGCTTAGTGAAAATACATTTCTGCTACAGTCTCTGTGTTTTAAATATGGAGCATTAAATGAATCATTCTATGGTATCAGCATGACATTCACCACACTTATTTACTCTTATGATTAAGATAAATGGGTTTGTTTCTTGGGTAATTTTATCCATTTTGCTTCAAGAGTTTCCTCAGAACCTGCGGTTCAATCCCTGAGGATTGCCTGTCTAAACTTAAGGAAGTATAATTGACAAACTCCTACAGCTTTCAGTTTTTCTGGTGGTTCAAATAAAGAATTCTGTATTTTCTGTTGAATTCAAGAAGTAATTTTGCTATTACAGGTTGGTGATTTTTTTTTTGAGCCTTGCAGTTTGCTTTCTGGTCACGCATTACTTATATTTAAAATTGGTTAAAGTTGATTAGGCAATGAAGTCTAAGCTTGCACAAGAGATGAAGCTTTCTTGATAACTTGGGTTGATCAAGGAGATTTAGGGGCTTGTGCTAATTGTATCTCATTTAATTATCTGGAAGTCACTTTCCACCATGACAGTGTATCAAGTGAATCAGCCCCAGTTGCAAATTTGTTCTGTGAATTTGGAACAAGCCCTTATGTGCACCTAAGTCCTGTATGTCTTTAGCAGAGAGACAGAAAGAAAACAATTTTCCCACCAAAAAATTATAATTTTAAATGTTCTCAACAGACCATTTTTTTTTTCAAGATGTGAATGTTTTTTAAAGGAATCTTTAAGGGAAAAAAATTTGAAAATGCATGTCAGGTGTCTGCTACAAAGTGTTAGAGAAAACAAAATGTGCCGTCTAAAGACTTTGTGAACTTTAAGACTTTTGAACTCAAAAGACTTTGAGCACCTGGTTTTGCAGTTCTAAACCTATTCAACTATTCTGATTGCATTTTTTTCTGAAGCTGAATTTAAAATTCTTGAAACTGTGAGTGAGGTTTAGGCAGTCTTCATATAATCCCCAAAAGGGTCGACATGGATTTTGTAGGTAAAAAATGGTAAAATTCATAAAGGCTTCTTGTGTAAGCATTTGAAATTGATTTCTGCCAGAAAGCACTTGGAGATTGTGTGTCACTGCCCTGGTGCTCTCTGCTTGTGTTACCAGGAAGGAAGGGAGCTGGAGCCTGGTGGAGGACCAGCTCTGTGTTCTCACATTCAGAATAAAGCCTCAAGTTCTGGTGGAAAGTTTAATATTGCTTTTTCTTCCCAAGCAGGTGTGAAAGCAAAGAGCTGGATGTTGAAATAAGGAACCTGATAGGGAAGAGCAGCACTTTGGAGTCCTGTGAGGACCCCAAACCTCTTGCCCAAGAGAGGCTGAGCCCTCAGAGAACTTCGTGTTCCCTTAAGGTAATCACAGTGTGCTTTTGCAATGTTTGTCTGCCAGGAAAGAATGTTCAGGGGATGTTCTCTGTGGGACTTGACTGTGCATGAAACTTTAGGATTTCTGAAATGATGCAATGAACTTGCTACACATTTTTTTTTCCTGATATAGCTACTTTCTGGTATGAGGAAGACTGACTGAGAAGGTGCATTCTATAGTGCTTTGAAAAATCAGCTAAACCCTCTGATTATTATCCTGTGTCAAACCCTGTAGCCAGATGTGCCTTTTGGAAAACACAGATCCTTGGAGCTGTGTAACCCCCAAAATACTGTCACTTTTGATGCATTTGGAAGTTCTGATCTAGCTGGGATTGAGGGACATACAGACCTGTGGAAGTGTCAGAAAGGCTTTTAGATGAATAGGAAGAGAGGAGAAGGAAAATTATGATGATTCAAACCCACACTTCTGTGGTATTGCAAACAGAAAATCGTAAGCCACCTGCTAAGGCGATTGTCTTTGCCTGCCGTGAAGCAGCGGTTAACAAGCCTGACAGAAACTTGTTCTGGGTTTCCCTCTCAGTTTCACTCCTCTCCCCTGAAACAGCGAGAATAGAAGGAATTTCCCCTTTTTCCACAAACTGGGAACAGGAGGAGGGAGGGGCGCAGAGGAGAGGAGTGATTAAACCGTGAACGATCCCTGCAAGGGCTGACACCCTTACCTGTGTGACTCCAGCACGGGATGGGGACAGGAAAACTCTGACGGCTGCACGCCGAGGCACGATGCAGGAAATCGGTGAGGAGCTAAAAGGGAGATGACTCTCTTCTATGAAATCCGAAATTACACACGGCTCCTTTCAGATGCAAACCGCCATCCCCAGAATGACTCATGACCTCGGGGCACGGAGCTGGGCCGAGCCTGAGGAGACGCCGCAGGGTCAGAGCAGTGGGATTAGAAACGGCGAGGGAGAAGCCACAGGGAGGGATGGGGATTCCCGGAGGCGGGGGAGAACCAGCGGGGCAAAGCGCAGGGCAGCGCAGAACCAGGCTGTGAAATGACAAGCCACAAAGGATCCATGGAAACACCGGGTTCCACAGGGGACGTAGGAAAGGATCTGGGGGATGTGGGCAATGTGAGGAGGAAGGAGAAAGGATGTGCTCACCCGGACCTTTTCTGAGGGGTGCTGCAGTGCTTCACACAGGACACCGTGGCAGTGTTTAATCTGCGGTGCTTTTATGCTCTTTGCATTTATAGCGCTTCTTGCCTGTAAAATGTGTATGTGTATGTGTGGTTTTCAGAGCTTAAAGAGGGACACTTCATGATATTTCTGCACTAGACATATGCTGGCTGTTTCTTATTCATATTTCTAAGCCCAGCAACTTTTCACTTGGCTGGCGATTGAGCTGGGCTTCAAGGGAGTGACAGCTTGACAGTCTTGTTGAGCTTCAGCAACAAAGGTGCTAGGAGTACCTGTCTTCGATTGTGGGTTTTGGGAAAGGAGGTCATATTTTTAACACCTAGTAGACTTTGTGAAGATTATGAAATAATATTAAAAAAAAACAAAAAAACAAAACCCCACATCAGAAAATAACCGTTTGTGAAATTACACTGATTAGGACTTAAAATGAGGGGCAAATGAAATGTGTAAGAGTTAAGAAAAAGTTAATAATGAAACAAAAGTGTACCCTTTCATAAATGTCAGTCATTCATCGGGAAGTTATTTGTCAGAGACAGCAGGTCACTTTCATTCTGTAACTTTTTTGTGGAGTGAAGAGTACAAATTGCACTCTGCAGAAGGGCATTTCCATCTGACCTTAAATCACTTTCAAGACTAACCTATAACTGTCTGTAAACAAATTCCCCTTTTTGCCAGGATTTTTTTGCCATAAAAATTTATGAACTTCTGTGCACATCCTTCAGTCAATGATTCCTTCAGTTCCAGCTTGTCCTGATGCTGCATTCTCCATCCCAGGAAAGGGAATAGATTTGCATTTTTTAGATTTGCAAATTGTCATCCAATTATTTTCACATGGAACTTGGATTTTCATCAGCAGGCCTGACTTTGCAAATGCTTAAGTACTTGGGAGGCTATGCCCTTATGGTTACTGGAGAAAGGAAATCCTGAAGCAGGAGCCTATGCTTAAATATTTTGATTTACTCTGAAACCATGTCTTGCTCTAATTTTATCTGGTTCCCACATATTAAGGCACAAATTTGCATCTGCACCTATTTTTCTGTCAGAGGGAGCATGTAACTGAGCAGCAAAAAAGGCTGAGGCTGACACACTTACTGAAGGGAAAATCCCTTTCTAGCACACCTCTCTGGTGAGCCACAGGGGCCAGGCTGGGGCAGGAAGAGGCAGATTCTTCTTCTGGTTCAAGAGCCAATTTTATTCTTCAGCTAAAATCTCTCATTTTTTACCACTTTACCATTAGCCTCAGAATGGGAAAATGGATATTGTGGCAAACACCCCTGGCATAACAGCTCCAGCAATAAAGCCAAAAGCAAAGCTCAGCTGAAACATAAGCAAAGTGAAGGCTCCCCAAAAGCCACCAAATTTTAACCCAAGTAATCTCAGAGTTAATCTAGCTTCTATAAGTCTGTAACTGAGCAATAAATTTTAAAAAAATTCTAACAAAAGAAAATCCCCAGCAAAGCTCACAGCAGATACATGACTAGCTAGGAAAAAAAAAAGTCTTGGCAATTTTGTATGATTTTGTTATCATCAAGGAAAGCCTCACATTTGCTTGCATCAGGCCTTTTAGTGATTCTTGGTTTCACTGCAGTTACTAAACAGATAGAATTTTCAGAAGTGAGAAATGGTTTTCATTATCTAAATTTGAGTGATATTTTGTAATACTGTGACACAAGTTGTTCCCAGAATTAAGATCCAGCACTCTGAAAATGAGAACTTTTATCATCTTGTGGTGCTGAGGCTTGTGAGAGGGTTCAGTACTGGCCACAGCTCCAAGGTTCTGCTTTTTCTCCCACTGCAAACTTCCCAAAGATGCCTGAAAGGCCTTTATGCTCAGGAAGCTCAGGTTGTCCTAGAATACAAACTAAAATATTTTTCATTTTTCAACAGGACATTAAAAGAAAACAAAACAACAAAGCTGCTACTAATAGAAATTACAGAGTGTCATGGAAATAAAATAGAAATTGAAAGAAGCTTCTAGGTTGTTTTAAGATGCCACGTGGAATTAACTTGGGAAGTGTGAGGGGCAGCAAATTCTCCCATTTCCTTCCTGAGCAGCTTTTTCCATACCTGACAGATTTTTAGGTTTGTGACTGCATTTACAGTCTGATTGTCAACTGAAATTTTCCAAGCAATTTAAAATTGTCTTTGAACTGTTTTGTTCAATAGCTTCAAACCAAGTAAAAACGCTTTAAAAGATTTGTGGGTCTTTTTGAATTCTGAAACCTGATAGGTCTCAAAGTGCCCTTCTTTCAAGGATTTCTGTATATCTCAGGTTTCTGCAGTGCTGTTGTACAACCAAGCTTTTCATGATAGCAGTATATTTAAATGTAGTGTCTTTATCACTGCCATATCAATGAAAATGAATGCTGTCATCTCCTTCTCTTTCTTTTTGGTGCTATTAACTGTTTACAGAGGCAATGATTTTGCTTCAACCTCACAGTTTTTGCTGGAACAATACCACCACCTCTGAAGAGCTTGAATTTTTGCTCCCTACTCATTGGCATTTCTTCTATTTATACAGATTTCAGACATACTCTTGTCTCTCCAATCTGTTTTTACATGGCAACCACTTATCCTTATGAATGCTAAGCTGGATGAGACAGGCACTGAAAAGTACTTTAGTCTTAGTTCTATTCTGTCCAATTTTATGTAAAATCATTCACTTTAAGTGGCCATTATTGCAGTCATGAAAAAATCACTAACAAAGGACTTGGTGTTCTAATGTCCAGATAGCTTTCCAGGAAACTATTCAGCTCTTCAGGAAACCGTTGTGACCTAAATTACAGTATCAACCAAGGTCTCAGCCTCATCCTCTCTTCAAAGTAATTTGAGCATTAATATCTTTCAAGTGGGAGCTGTGATTCCTGAGTGGGGCTGTGCCCTGGGTTTGCTCCTCTGCCCCGACTGCGGGGACTGCTCAGAGCCTCACTCAGCTCTTAGGAGGAAACCAGAAACTGGGGCTGCTTTACCTTGCAGGCCAGACCATAAAATGCAGCTGTTCAACCTGAGCTTTCTCCAAAAGTGAGCGTGCTGCTGGAGTGGGGATGAGACTGGTGAGAGTGGGAGCTGGGGAAGGGACAGTGTCTGGGCTCGAGAGGCATCGCCCTCAAGAGCAGATGTGCAAGGTTTGTGATTGTAATTTTGTTGAAGCAGATGCCCCAGTGTTGGTGCTTTTCTGCACCAGTTTATAGTCTTCAGTGATGTACCTGATATGCTCAAATGCCTAGTTTTGGTACAGGTACAGATAAAATTCTTCCAGTTTTTGTTGAGTAGGATGACTCCTATGTAGAATCTGAAATGTCTTCATTAAAATAACCATTGTTTTTTTTCTCTTGGTACACCACAAGTTTTCCAGCTGCTCCATAAACCAGGAGAAAAATGGAAAGCACCTCAGGGTAGCAGGACATACTTCATATGCAATTATAAAATAGTAGCTTTCTTCCAAATTGGGGTTTGTATCTTGCAAAAAGAAGAGTTGCTTAGTCACACATCATGAACCAGAGATCTGGAATGTGGCTGCAAAATTTCAGCATTTAACAAGATTGCTTTACTTTCTCTAAATCTGTTTTTGGAAATTGAAAGAGGGGTTTCTATTATTTTATGTCAAATTTCACAGGCTAGCTTTCATTTCATTCCTTCAAAAGGAAATAGGCAACCTCTGCTGCCACTGCAAAAGTCCTAGACCCAGAGATCTTTCCACAATAGGGAGCAGAATTTTTCTTTTATGCCTTTCTCTGAAATCCATTATTATTCAGAATTCCACGACTGAAGATGAGAACATTTTGCACTTTTCTGTTTCGTTCTGACTTTGTATAGCAAGTCTGTGGAAGCCTTTTCTTTGTTAATCTTTTCTGAGAGTTTAACTTGGTAGAGTTAATATCTTCCTCCAAATGGGAAACTTAGGCACAGGTCTGGAGTGTTGGGTACCTTTGAGTACACAAGTTTTGAGTGTCTTGAAGCTGGATCCGTGCTCAGGTAAGGCAAGTGGCAGAAGTGCAGATAAAACATCTGTCATTCTTCATCTGTGCAGCTTTTCTTCGCGAAAACAAATCCATTTTCCAGTGTTGGTTTTCCCCTAAACATCTTGGGGTTTTTGTATGGGGGTGCTCTTCCCTGTAGCTGTTAACAGACTTTGCTATTGCTCCTTTAGAAGCATGACTCACTCATTTTTCTGTTCTGATAGTTCACTCTTAGTGTCAATAATTGTTGTAATTACTCAGGTCCTTTTTTATAACTGGAAACAGGGATGGAAAGCCTGTCCTCTTATTTACTGAAAGAGCAAATACCCTTCCTTCCCATACATGCAACTTCCTCTCTGGGGGGAACTGGCCAGGCAATTGTGATTTCCATGCACACAAAGCAGAGAGCTGCCTTGCCTGGCACATTAGTCATAGGCATTGTGCTTCATCCATTCTGGGAAGCCCCAGCCAGGAAGGAGGAAAAGATTAAAATCAGAATTCCACCACTACTTTCTGGACTGTGGCTGCTTCCACAGGCGGCACTCCTGGATCTTCTGGGCCTGAAAGCAATTCTCCTGATCTTTTAGCCAACATAAAATCTGTTTCATTGCTCTTCTTCCTCCAAAGAGCCACAGTGAAGGAAACGCTCTAGGCTGGCTTGGATGCACCTGGGCAGGTGGGAGTGACATGGAAGCTCCAGCAGAACCATTGCAGGTAAGTGGCTGTGTTGGCTGTTCTCTGAAGTGTTGTCTGAGTAACAGGAGCTGGTGCAGGTCACTTTGTAGATTGACAGTTATGGGCTGACCTTTGTGCTCTACTAGATTTTTCTGAGTTATTTGAACTGTGTAAGAGTGGAAGGAAATGTTAGAAATATTTTTTCAGACGGCATTCTTAGAAAGAAGACCTTTCCTAATGGAGTTTTTGCTCTCCAAAAGTTGCACAAAGGGTGCAAAGTTGTTCATTTGAGTGACCCCACAGCTTCTGTGAGCAGTATTTGGACTAGTTGGTGCCAAGTGTCTGTGTAGTTGTTAGTTTTGTGAGCTGTCCTATTCACTTTATTACTATTCTTAAACATGCTCTTCAATATATGCCTAAGGCCCAGATGCTGAAAGCAATTCAGCATGGGAATAACTCCATTAGCTGCCAGGTATTGCTTCAGATACTCTAAATTAAACATGTCAGTGAGCTACAAGAAGAGGGATTAAGTGTTTTCTGGCTTGGAAGTCAAGGGCTCTACATCAGAGTTCAGCAGGACTGGCCATGGGGCAAATATGTGGTTGGGTTTTTTGCCTTTGAAAAGACAGTAAAACTGTCCTTTGATCTTCATTGGTATTCAGCATTAAATTCTGTATCTACAGAAAATTTGTTCCAGACCTCAGAAGTGCTCTCACCATTATTCTTGTTTTTCATATAGTGGTTGAGAATTTAGGGAGGAAAACAAAAATCGCTGAGCATGTATCTGACCAAAATATTTTCTATTTTTATGAGGCTGTCTCTTTTTTTCCAGTACAGCTCTCCTCTCTCTCTTGCTAATAGATCACATGTTTGTTTTCATGACAATCCACAGAAACTTCTTGGAAATTATGATCTAGAACACTGCCATTATAAAAATGAGGGTCTAGCTGCTGTTGTCCTGCTTGGGTGAAACTCCACACTTTAAAAAAAATTGAACAATTGCAGACTGATCTTCTAAATTTCTCCAAATGGTCTATTTGTTTTCTGTATTGCTTGTTTTGAGCCCATGGTGCTAAAGTTTATCACCTTGGGCCTGCAAGCAATTACCAGGGGCAATCCTACTAATTATTCTAGTTCTTGTAAATTAAGGGAATTACTTACACCCTCTGCAATTCATGCTCAACTTTTGTGGCTTGTACTACTTGTTTGTATTGCCATCTGCAAGATAATTAAAATCCTCTTTTGTATTCTGTGTCTCAGACGGTACAAATAGATACAATTTTGGTTATTTCAGTGGCTATTTGCATAATGCTTCAATTAAAACACAGCCTGAGTGCGTTTAAAGCAGATGCATGCTCCAGAATCAGCTGCCAGCAGGTGTGAAGGTATTTAGATACAAATTTGGTGTAAGAAAATGTTTGTTTCAGTTTCTTTGTGTGCACCTGTCAGGGTGGATAGGAGCTTTACACGAGAATCTTGAAGAGAACAGGCCAGAAGCATTAATTTTTGAACATTGTTTTTCTCCAGTCAAGGCACACATTACTGAGCAAAAAGAAGCCTTTATCTTCCAATTCTCTGGAGCAACAGATCCTCACACTGGAAAGACAGAGACGAGAGGTAATCCTAAATATCTTAAGCACCTGATGACTGATTGTACCATGCCTATGAATCTGGAAGAGCAGAGGTTTATTTAGTACAAAGGGCAAATTTGATTAATGACCACTATTGCTAAAGGCCAAGGAACAGCAAGCATGGCTTGCACTCAGTAGTATCCCAGTCAGTAGGAGTCTTCCATTCATTTGTTTGAAGTCAAAGACCTTCTAATTGGAAATATGGTCATGGAACTTGTAGCAAACTAGCAGGAAAGTCCTTGGCCGTTTAGGAGTTGTAGCTTGGGATTTGTGCAATGCTGCAAATGATCCACCTGTAGCTTGTTGTGTATTTGCATGTTTCCCGAGTGCTGCTTCCTGAATGTTCATGTGCTTTAACCCAAATACCAAAGCACTGGCAGATGGGCTGCAAGGCTTGCCAAACCTTAAACTTGCTTCTTCTGAAATAAATGAACTGGACAGATGATGAGGAGGTTGGGAACACTCACTGACAGAGGATTAGAATGCCAGTCTGTTTTTGATTTACTGAAAATGTTGAAATAAGTGTTACTTACTGTGCCTTCCTGGTAATTACAGCTTTTGGAGGTGAACAAGCAATGGGATCATCAATTTAGAAGTATGAAACAGCTTTATGAAAAGCAGGTAACAATGCTGACAGCTTCTGCTGCAATATGTGTGCCACCTGCTGACAGTTAAGTCTGTGTTTTAAATACCAGCCAGCCATAGCCATGGTAAATATCTTACTTTGTCTTGAACTCGTTAATTGAAAAAGCTTCATCATATACAAGCAAAGCCAATGTGTGTCAGTCTTCAGTAGGACAAATTAACCAGAGAAGTAGTATCCCTAAAATAGTGGGGACCAGTGTGGACGTGACAGTGGAGATCCTTCACTGTAGGAAAAAATGCACATAACTGAGAGAACAATCAACTGAAAACCAGCCTGGTGTGCCCAGCCCCAGCCATGTGTGATGGTGATCCACAACATCACATATATGCTAGTTCTTGTCCCATCTCTTGTGAAGTCTGGGTAAATTCTCCATGAAATTTGCCCCCTGTAAGCAGAGACTCTCAAAATAAATTGTAAAGAAATATTTTGATTTCTGGGTTTTTTTTTCCATCCAAGATCCAATTGACATAGCTTTTATTCCTTGCTTATGGCTGTGTGGTGTCATTGCTGCAGACATTATGGTCAGCTGCCTAGTGAAGTTCAGTGCTTATAATTTTGTCTGGTATTCCAGAACCCAAGTTGGTTCATTGTCTGACACTTCTCATCTACTGTTTCCTGCTATGAACAGGAAGTTTACAGAATGAATTCATGGGCTTATCAGGAAAATTTTCTCTCTAATATTTTCCAGAAAGCTTTGCTGAGATCTGAATTATTCCTTTCCTTTTCCCCCCAAAAATAAGAGGACTCCAAATGGCTCTTCCTCATTTAATCTGGAACTGTTTTATGCCTCTCGCTCAACACCCTGAAGGGTGCTGTGCCTTTCAGAATCCCCAGTGAGCCTGGCATGGTCTGTCACTTTCTTTTCAGCTGACAGAGATGAAGGCAAAGCTGGATGTGTCAGAGAGGAGAGTGAGTGAGCTGGAGCAGGAGAGGCACCAGCAGCATCCAGAGGAAGGGAGGTGGCAAGTGCTGGGCAGAGAGAAACTGCTGCAGGAAAAGGTAGGAGGATGCCCTGTGGCACCCCTTTTGTGCTCTGTGGTGAGCTCTCTCTTGCCTTTCATCTTTCTCTCCTTGCGTGGGTTGTGCAGAGCCCAGAGGTGAGACTGTGGCTCCTCAATATCTTACCCAAGGCTGCTGAGCTGCCTCATCACAGAACTGTGTGTAGAGAAAGAGTCATTTCCATATGACTGGCAGACAGCACAACATTAGTGTGTGTGGGGGAGGAAAGAGCAGCTTGATTTCTACACTGCACAGATTTCCCTCCTCACAGTTCAGGGTGAATTTCTTTGTGTAGGAAAATGCTGCAGTTATTTCAAATGGAAGAGGAACAGCAGTGCAGATGTTACACCAAGTGCTTGGCAAGAAATAGTCAAGGAGTGCATGCAGCTCCAGTCCCCAGGTTTTGGTATTGACAGTACAGGCTCTCATACATGTGCTAGCTGTCTCAGCTCCCTGCAAATATTAGTGACACTGTCAGTGCAGTTATCAGGGCTAGAAGTGTCTGGCCTGATCAGCTGCTCCAGAGTGGTGTTCACCTCACCCTCAGAGTGGTTGGGCTGCCCTTTCAGGACTCCTTGGGCACTGGCTCTTGTGGTGGGCTTTTGCATTTCAATTTAGATCCCTGAGCTGAATTCCCACCTCAGTAAAACCACCAGCCTGAATGATGGGCACCTACATAAAACTGTGTGCTCCATTTTAGAAACCCCACAGAGTGGTGCTTCCTGTTCTCATTCTGCTTCATGGTATCATGTACTTTGTGACCTCTAGTGAGAGTTTCTGGATGATGCTGATGGCTGAAGTTGGGCTTCTCTATTCAGGTGGTAACCTGAAACAAGTGGTAAATGCATCACTTCCAGGCTCAGATGAGATGCAAGTTAGCTGCTGCAGGAAAAGAAATGCAACCTCCTTAGCTTACATCTGCATAAGCAGAACATCCACCTTGCTTGCTTATCAATTAGTCCCAGCCAAGCACATACTTGATTCCAAATCCATAGAGCAATTTACATATTTTGAGACAAAGTGTGTTATGTACTTGCTGAATCACTGCCTGTATTTGCTCTGAGTGTTGATTCAGTGTGAGACAGTCCATATTTTTGTTCATGGTACTGCCTGCCTTTTAATGTAGGATACCTGAGCAAGTAAGTACAATTTTATAAAACATAAGGATCAGTAGTACATTCTCTCAGATGTTTTTACTGCATACATGAACAATGAACTAAATGACAGTATAGCCCAAAACTTTTTTGTGGGGACAGGTTAATCAGTACGGAACTTGGGTTTTAAATCTGCAATTTCTTTAAAGTTACACATTCAGCTAGTAAGTGCTTGTCAGCTTGGGCTAGCTGCTGGATTAGTTCCTATACTTATTGCAGAGATACCCTGCTAATCTTGCCTGGTTTTTGGAGAAAATGCAATGTCCCAGCTAGCTTAGAACACAGCAGAGTCAAGCTTCCTCACGTGTAAGCAAATTACTCAGGGGTGTTTTTCACTGGCTCAATTAGCACACAGTGATGAACTTCTGATGAGCCCAAACTGCAACTGGCTGCACAGAGATGAGCCTTTCACACAGAAAAAAACCCATTCCTGTGGTGTGCTGTGCCTGTGATTGTTGGATCTCACTTTTTTATTCAATAAAGCAGCTGCAGAAAATATTTTAAATACTTTTTTTTTCTGTTTTGGTCTTCAATGTTGTATGGCTCTGGGAATGGCTGGGCCTCCACCAGCATTTAGCCCTGGTCTTATTTTCTGAGTACATAAGAGAAACGTGGGTCTGGAGTAACTGTGGATGTGATTTTGATCTGCTTGGCCTGCCAGCATTCCCATGCCTTCGTGCAACTGCAGAGAGCAGGGATTTAGTCTGGTATGTGGTCTCTGTCTCATCATATGGTGAGTGGTCAAAACAATTTTTACAGACTTTATCATATCTGGGTGTGCCAATGATCTGCCTTCCTGCTGCCTCCCTTCCCAGCTGTGTTTGGGACAACAAAAATGCAGCACATCTGTCAGACAGAAGATTATTCTGAAAATTGTTTTGGAAAAATGCTTCCATCTGCATTTCTGCAGCATCTCTCTGTATTTTTGCATCCCAGAAAGATACAGAGGTCCTTAGTGAAGCTCTCCATGAAATGAAGGAAGAGAACAGGCTCCTGAAGCAGAAGAATGCTTCAATGACCAGGAGGAAGGAATACTATGAGAGTGAAATAAGTCGTCTCAACAAGGTAGGAAGAGAAGTGAGCTACTGATTCCTCTAATTCTGGGATCTGTGCTGTCACTGACCTACCAGATACCAGCTTTTCAATTCTGGGTGAACAACCTGGTGGCAAACACATGATCACCATTTGGCAGCTGGGGAAATGAGCAAGAACTCACATCAGCTCAGACCTGTGCATGCAGGGTCTAATTCCTTGGCAGGTAGCAGGGTTGCATTGCAAGGAGAAAAATTCAGGGAGTATTTGGCTTCTTCTATGAAACCTCTCTACATGTCATGTTTAAGCCCTTTCTACACCCTCCCTCCTCAGAGCAAAGAGGAAATGGCACAAAGATGCTTCTGTATACACCTGGTGAAAGACTGTGGTTGAAAAGAAAGGTCACACAGCTTAAAAACTCATTTAACATGTATTCTGTGTTTGAGAATGATGGCTTCTCTTCAGCAGACATGGTCCTGTCCTATTGCTTATATCCATATACACACATATTCATACCTGTAATATTATGTGTATATATGTCTCACTGAGGAAATTGTCATTAAATATCTACATGGATTTTTTTTAACTGAGGGAAAGTAATAAATGTAATTTTGTTTAATCAAAAGATCACATAAAGCGGTGGGTGTTTTCTAACAATTTTGTATTTAATGGTGAACCACAAACACTTCCTGAGGAAATGCATTGCAGTAACCATTGCTGTGTAACTTGAATAAGTGCTTTAATAAGCTAAAGGGCCATGATGTGCAAAAGTCAAGCCAAAAACATAATGCTGCCATAAGAAAAAATCTGACAGAACCCATGATCTCTAGCTCTTTTTGAAATGCATTGACAGGACTTGCTCAAAGCTCCAGTCTAACTTTAATTCAATGCCTTGTTTGTAAACAACTAATTTAAATGTTTTATTTTGCTGTCTTATTATGTGACTGTAATAAGACAGATGGGTATTTTGACCATTCTTTTAAATTAAGCATAAATTTCATATACTTTCAATACTTTCCCAACAGTAATTTACTGATTTTCTGTGCATTTGCATCTTTCAACTCTCATGTCATGAATACACATGAGACAGGAAGGGGACCCTCTGTGCCCTTTTAACTGTATTCCCCTGCTATTTCAAGTTCAGCTACTTGAAATTATTACACATTCTCTGAAATCAAACAACTTTTTTTTTTATGTGAATGGATAAAGCAAGATCTCACAGTATTGTGTCCAAATGCAGTTTAAAAATAACCTTCCCCTTAGGATAAAATTTTTGAAGATTGAACTTTACGGATTTTTCCTTTTTTCCCCCCCCCCATAATTCTGTGTTGTAGAATCTGCCCAAAAAAGTATTGAAGGGGGATTCAAAGGGGCACAAGAAGGGTTAATCAGTAATCAGGGTGTCTGTATTTTCACCCTCCCAGTTTTACGTTCAACCTTGTGAATGTATTGGCATGGAACACCAGCTTTGCCACTATTATAACCAGTTTCACTTCTGCACATTTCTCAGAGACAGCAGTCCATCAGATAAAAAGCTTTCCTTTTCTATGCTTCCATGGAAAGTGCTTGGTTTTTGTTGGGCCTTGGGTATTTAATACCAATCCTTGGATTACTTTGGGTACTGGTTCTCCTGCTTGGCTGCGTCTTCCCCATTTGCCTCTTCCCTCTCCAAATATCTTCCATCCTTCGTGCTTGAGTGTGGGCAGCAAGGGAGAGCTGAGGATCATCAGCATGAATTCAGCTTCTAAAAGGGATGAAGTCAGGGATTCGAATCTAATGTGAAAGAATGAAAAGTACTGAATGGTATTTGTGCTAGAGTAAAGATAATGTATAGTTATAATGTGTGGATATAGACAGAGAGATGTAGGAGTGATTTAATTATTCCAGTCCAAGGGAGAGCTGTGTAATACTGTAAAAATAAAGTCTGCGGAGAACTGTGGCAGGATTTCAGTGTAAAACAGGTAAGAGTGGTACCAGTGTTGTGTGTATTCGTAACTCCCTCTAGTGACAAGCTATGGAGACTACACAACTTCCTCTCAAAAGAGGGGGTTTGCTTTGTTCCACGTGAAGGAATCCCTACTTTTAGTGCAAAAAAACGTTTCAGTCAGACTTTACTGCAGTAAAGTGGGTTCATGTCCAGTGTATATAATTGAAGCAACTACGGGTGAAGGGGAAACCCCTTTCTAATAATTTTAAAAGGTTTTTTTTTTTTCTTTTTCATGTAGTGAATCTCTGTTTAGTAATTTTGCTGTTTGATGTTGCAGGCCCTTCTGGACACATTGAAAAAGCAGCACCCACCAGTTGTTGGGACTCCTCCAGGGAAGGGTGACAGGAACAGAATTGAGGAGATGAGAACCCAACTTGAGGTTCTTAAACAGCAGGTAAGAACAGCTCAAGTGAGCCTGGATGGATTTCACACAGCATTATTTTGCCTTCTCTCCCAGGGATTGTGCTTGGTAGACTTGCTGTGTAGAACTTCAGTAAGGAAGAGCCAGTTTAGCTACAGCCCTTTGGAATGATGTTTCCTCAGATTGTGTCACCACAGCAGACTGAAGTTTCCACAAAGTGGAACTGAGTCCTGGCAAAGGATTGGAGCAAGGACTTGTGGAGGACCCAGAGCTGCAGAATGGCTCTCCTGACTCCTGGAGGTGTCCTGACAGCTCTCTGTTAGGGGCTGAATGACATCCAAAGGGACTGCTAAATTTCATTAATTACTGGTTGTGTTTTCTGATCCTTTTATCTTGGAAGTTGCCAGTGTAGAGAACTATGCAAAGATCCTAGCCTTGAAAACTAGAGCATTGGCACTGCAGTTTTTCTATGTGTGAGGCAGACCATTTGCATCCATAACCTGCATCCCAAGGACTATAGATTTGTATCTATTTATTTTTTAATCTTTGTCCTGAGCAACTCAAATGCTTTGTGAGATCTTTTTCTTTCCATATGAAAGAATCTGTTTAAAAACAATACAGTTTTCAGATAATTTTAACACTTCAGGTATGTTGTCCTGGATAGTGTCAGGGTTAACATTATTGACCCACAAATGGATATGATCAGAATGGGAATTTTATTCAATGGGAATAAAATACTTGTTTCTGTCACGTTTGACAGCAGAGCCAGATTTTGCTCTCTAATGTAATGCTTGCCACATGCTGGAGAACAAAATCCTGCACTTGATTGTACAGTAATGAGTTATTTCATTCTACACAATAAAATAGAGTAAACCAGTTTGGTTTTTTTTTTTCCAAAATTCTCATGGGGTATCCATTTTATGAATGTGTTTTTCTAGTTGTATAAATCAGTACAGTGAGTCCAGGCTTCCTTCTACACGAAATGGAGCAGAAGGCTCTAACTGGATGGAGGAGGGACTCTTGGGACAAAGAGTGACGTGACAGAGTCCCACAGGAGCTTGGCTGTCATCAGCCCATCCCTGGTCACGACAGTGGAGATGAAGGCATTCATTCCTTGGGAAGTGTCTCCTCTTTCTCAGGGCAACAGGATAAATGGCAAAACTGTGCCAAAGAGGTTCCCTTGCAGCTCCAGCAGATTGTACAGCTGGGGAATGGGAGGGAGGTGGGACAGCAGAGAAGGGATTGGGAGAGAAGAAATGAGGAAATACTGAAGAGACAAATGTGTAGGTGGACAAGGGATGCAGGGATTTTTGCAAGTGACAGTTTTGTCTCTGCTATGGAGGGTCAGGAAAAGAATTTATAGAGCCCTGGGCTGACTTTTTTCTTCCCCTGAGGTATTGACATTTTTCTAGTCCTTCTGCGAAGTCATAGCACTGCTTCCAGCAAAAAGAAAACTGGATCTGTCCAATGGGCAGGGCATGAGCCATAGCAAGCAAGTTTTTTGGGAAGAGACTGTTAGCAGGCTTTAGTGAGCACCCAAGAGGACATGAAAGGGCTTTGAAAGTTCTCATGGTGGTTCCCACCCAAACATGCCTTTACTGTTATTTGTCAGTAGAAGTGCCACCAACCTCCAGCTTCTCACCAGGTGGATGCCTGCCCATTAGCAGAAGAATTAAGGTAGACATCTTGACACCAAATAATTTATGGATTTGTGTTTTGTTTCCAAATCTGTGTGCTCGCTGCCTGTGCCTGGGGTGGTCAGACATTTTTTAATGGGATGAAGCTCTGTGATTCCTGACCACATAACAAAGAACTAAGCCACTGCATCCTTCAGCATTTGCAAGGCAGCTTATTTTCTAGGAACAGGGTCAAACATCTGCATTTCCACTGAGAGTTGTGTACATTCCATTCCATTTGGAATTGTGTACATTATGCTCTGCTCTGCCTGGGCTGGAGAGGTTCTCTAACTCCTTGCACCTGAGATATACAGGAGGGAGTTAAAAGTGTCCATAACTGAAGAGAAAACTGGAAAAATGTTGGTAAAATGTTTGTCCTCTTACTGCTAATCCCTTAAAAAGATGTATACTCGTATTTGCTATCTTGTCTGAAGTATTTGAAACTGAAATTTGCCAGTCAGCTTTTTGATGTGCAAGGTTGTACAAAAACTGGCACTGGGGACTGTTTCAATTTTCAATTTTGCTTTCAATTGGTGAGTGCCACTGGAGCGTGGCCATTAATTGTCACTTTGTATCAGTCACAATAAAAGACCAGGGAAACTTTTGTTTGGAGGATTGTACAGAGCAGGGATCCCCTTGGAATTCACCCTTCTGCTTGGGCAGTGTTTAGAAAGCAGCCAAACCACAAAGTGGCTCTGCTGAAGTTCACACACCGTTCATGATGATTGCAGGTCCAAATATACGAGGAAGACTTCAGGAAGGAGAGATCTGACCGGGAGAGGCTTAATGAGGAGAAAGAAGCATTGCAGAAAATTAATGAGAGATTGCAATCTCAATTGAGTAAACTCAGCTCTCAGGTATGAGTCAAAAGAAAGCTCCCATTGCCAGCACATGTGTATTTTATATTTTTTTCTCACTTTCCACACAACTCAAGGCTTTCTGGCTTCCATTAATTGACATTGGATTTTATATGAGGTCACCACCTGGGATGAAATCATTCTGAAGTAATGCAGTAAGAAGATGAGAAACTATTAGAGAAGACCTCCAAAATAAGGGAGTATTTATTGCAAAAACTTTTCAAATATATCTGAAAATGGAGGAGGGGGAGGGTGGACACATCCATAGACAAATCCAGAGGACTTTGATTGTTTCACTGGCACATGATATAAGAGCTGTAAGATCAAACCAACTTTTGAAATAAAGAGCTTCTGTAGTTAATCCTGACCTCTGCAATTGAATTACAGAGTGATGCTAATATCAATGTGGAAAAAAATGCTCTCCATACAAATTAGCTGAGCAGCCTCTGCAGTAATTTTTTCTTGCAACATCCTTTTTATCTCTTCAAAGTAGTGTCAGTAGGAAGCCATAGTAAAATCATGGCATGCAAAACTCTGAGCTTTCTCAATCCCCATTTAAGAATGATGAAATTCAGAGGTTTCCTGTCTTGACGAAATTGTGCAATGCTTTAAAAGAACGGCTGATTACCAAAATGCTCTGTAGTGATTTATTATCCTCCCCAACATTTTGTGACACAGAAACTTCAGGACTGTCTTATTCTCAACCAAGCCATGCATCAGAGGTGGTAGGGTCTTGCTGAAGTGTCAGAGGCCAGGTGGTACCCAGGAGATCTTCCTGTTTGTCTCTTCCTGCCTTGGGACTTGATTAAACAGAGCTTGTGGAGGATTTAAAAGATGAGAGCAAGCATATAAAATATTTATTAGTTTGTTTTCTTAAGTCAAATTATTTAGTTGTGACTCACAGAGTCACAGAATATTAACCATCTTTTACCCCTCCTTACCCTGTCCTTAGGCAAATTGCCTTTGACTCCACTGGAATGCCTAAGAAAAGGCAGACCCAAATCTGAGGCAAATAACTTTGGTCCTATAACAAAATTTACTTATCTTGTCATGCAAGTGGCTGTCCATGTAGTTCTGCTTCAAACTATTGAAAGCGACTGTGTGTAATGAAAATACAGAATTGTTTTTCAATATAAGACAGAGTAATGTGCTTGTCATATCTTGGGATCAATATTTTCCTCACATAAAAGGTGTCAAGACTGTGGTGTGGCACAAGTCAGCTGTTTTAAATAATTTTTTTAATCATAAGTAGTATGAAGGGTCTAAACAAGCAGCATTGCAACCCACTTGTACCTGAATGATCTGTTGGTCGTATTCCACTGCTAATGCATTTCTTCTTGTTCTTATTTTCTTGACAGACAAAAGAGCTCCCAGTACAGCCTGAGAGGCCCAGTTACCCAGCTCCACTCTTCCTCCCGCCGTGTGTCACTTATGGGGGTTGTGGGATGGTTCTTCACTGTCCGGATCCTCGGGCACATCCAGCGCCTCGCAGGGCACAGAAGCAGCAGCAGCAGTGCTCGGTGAGGTCCCCACCATCCTCTGGTGACAGGGACACTGATTTTCTCACAGCATGGTGACTGCAGGTGCCATCACCCTGCCATCCTCAGCAGCAACTGAATCTGTGCTTTCCTAGTGTGTTGTTTAGTTGAGATCAAGACTGAATTCACTTTGGCGAATACTCTTTATCTGTATCAGCACTAAGAAGAAAAACAGGGATCCTTTACATTTGTTTGTTAATTTAAAAAATAAGGTTGTTTGATTGGAGTCTTGCTGATTTCTTAGATGAATTTATTCCCATGACAGACATTCAGAGCCTTTTCTAGCTGTATAATTACCCCACTTCAGAGGTAGGGATCTGCTCTGAGCATTCAACATAAGATAATAAAAACCAAATCAGCAGAAGTGGAAGTTCTATCTGAGTGTGGCTAACACAATGGGAAATGTGCCTTTTTTATTTCTGGAACACAACAGGATCCTGTCTTCCTCAGTATGAAGAAGAATAGCTTTGCACTGGAGCAGGTTCTGTGAGTGGGAGTTATTTATTCCAAGGAAAATACTGCTTCAAAGAACATTATTGAAGTGCTTTGGGTTATCTAAGAGGGCTGGCTTGTTCCAATCTACTGAGAATGCATTTAAACATGGTGAATGTCATTTTAAATACACAATATCTGATTCTGGCTATAAAGCTGTCACATATAGAAAGGTGCTCATTATTTGAGAAATTATAGCTGAATTTTTGCAAAATGCATGTAAGGCTTTTGGGCTGTAGAAATCCAATGGAAAAGCTGTGGCCAGACAAGTCATTTCTGTGCTTCAGGAGTGTGCTTATCTGCCTATTTATCAAAGTTGGAAGTATTGCAGAATGTTTTTCCCTGCAATTTGGACACTGGCCCAGGTGATTTTGGCTCTTCTCCCTGAACTTTCATCATCTGGGTTTCTAATTCTGTGAGGGATCACTGGGTTTACAACTCTGTCATTCCTGCCGGAGCGCCGGTGTCAGTCTGACTGGTTGCTTTGTAACTCCCAGTTTCATTCTGACCCTTTTTTTTCCAATTCTTTGCCTGTGTGAGTTGCTGCTCTGGGCTTTGGGTACCTCCCTGAGCAATTTGTTAGCAATGAAGAAAGGTGTTAGAATTTAATGGGTGTCCTGATATGTAATCCTGCATGTTTGGGCTGTGCTTTTGCTTTTTCATTCTTTTTCTGTTCTTGCACTTTTTCATTCCTTTTTACACTCTAGTAGAAACATTTTGGTTAGTCTGATGTGAAATACACATCTTGAAATTCATTCAGATTTGTGGGGTGTAGGCACATAAAAAGAGAAGAATTGATCAGAGAACATAAAATTCACCAGAAACTCAAAAAAGCAATGCAAATGAGTGTAATTTGAGCCATTGGTGAAAAACTACCTGTGCTTAAAGCTTTCTGTCAAAGTCTACTTTGTTTGCCCACAAGTACAGAATTAGTTAATAATTCCTGTGGCTGGTACAATTTAAGTTAAAATACAACAGTTCCTTTTTTTCCTGACAGTGGATGAGAGTGATTACTGCTGTATAAGCATGAGTAACAGCAAAACATAAAAGTTAAATCTGTTTTCTCTAACTACAGCTTCATTCTGCCATCTTAATTCAGGAAAAACTTCTGTAGGAGTCTCTGAAATTTGTTCCCTGCAAATTGAAATTTGCAAGATTCCCCTTGGGGCTACTCAATGATTTTGTCAGAGTAATTTCTGCAAAACAAGAATCATTTTTCCAGTGTAACTAATTTGAAGCAGCAATTACCTAGACTTTGACAAGCTTGCATGGACTACTTATTCCAGACAGACAGCCTAACACAGCTTCAGCTGAAATGGCTGGTCCCAAAGTTGTTTTCTCTAGTGGTAATTTGCTACTCATTTACCACAGTGGGTGGTATAAACTATAATGCATTATTTCTTCCAAGATTTCCCTGGACAAAACTGTGTCTGCATGGACATAACCTTCCCAGTACTTCCTCTTATGAGAAAGATGGGAATTTTCCCTATCCCACGGTATTTTCAGGAAGTTATTTGATAATAGCTAATGCTATAGTAACAGCAGTGCTAACCTGTGAGCAAAGGGAGGAGGGGAGAGAAATTTATTCCGTGGTTCATTCCTGTCACACTGGAGCATTTTACAGCTGCTACAGATGCATTCCAACTGGAGCAGCTTCACCTATCAGGTGGGCCAGGTTGCCCTGGGGTTCTTTGGTAGAGGGAGATGCCTGCTGGTATCTTCTGCTGCACTTTATTCCTTAGCCCTTTTAAAGTCTGGTTTGGTTCTCTTAATGTTTCAGTGTGATTTGTGAGATCTAGAAAGGTTTACACTGATTTTTCTAATGCCATAGGAAAGGAAGCAAAGTGGAAGACTGGGATCGGTGGAAACAAACCTAAATATAAGATTTTGTTTTAAACCACTTTTGTGTGGCTAATGAGAGGCTTCACAATTATGCACAATTATGTTTTTATCATGTCGCTCCTCTTTTGTTTGAAGTGCCTGTGAAGTCCATATTGCTGCAATAATGTTTTATTGTTCTGTGCAGCCAGACTATCAGTGGTATGTTCCTGACCAGCTTCCGCCAGATGTGCAGCACAAGGCAAATGGTAAGACAACAGCTGTACAGAGCATGTATTAAATGTACTTTTTTTCAAATGGAGGCCTTTGAGGGATGTAGAGTAAACTTTCCTGTCTATCTGTTGAGTGCTTGTGTGACAGCTTTGCCTTGGAGAGTCAAGGTTGATGTGCGTGCACCGCAGGTGAGGTTTCTGATGTAATACCCTCTATGTTATAGCTTTGTTGCAATTCATAAAATGTCTCTATTACACATTACAGGATGACACATTTGCCTCATTAAACACCTAGTAATAGTGCTAAAGAAAAGATACCCTCAGAATTCTCCTTAGAGCTTCTGTTGCTCCAGCTAAGGCTGAATTAAACAATGTGCCAAAACAGGGTGCCAGCATGGCCAGGTTTAAGGGTCCTTGGTAACAACGTGCAGACTTTTGGATGTTGTTTCACCTTAATGACAAAATGCCCATTGCTGTTCCTGGTCTGTTCTGGTAATTCAGGTGGTCTAAAAATAGAGCCATGAAAGTGAACAGAGTTAAATACTTGCCAAAGAGTCAGGACTAACTATTTTTTGGAAACAGGGAGGAGTAATTAATATTTGTATTTGAAATAATTCCTGGGTGCTTTGAAGTACTTGTTTCATACCACTCAAAAGATGGACACCACAAGAGATCATTTCTGGGTGGGAATCTGCCATCCCATGGTGCCAGTGGGTACCACATGGGGTGGCAGGGGCTGCTGAGTCCAGAAGCTGTTTTGTTACATCTGTAAGAAGAAGATGACTGCAGAGGAACTGTTCCATTATTTGCTGTCATCCATGTTTCCCCAGAAGAGAGGGCAGAGTGGAAATGTAGCTCACCAAAATGGCTGATGGGCATCCCATAATTACATGGCAGCTCTTTGGAGAGTTCTGATGTGGTCACAGGGAAAGTAGTGCTGTGCCTGCACAACAGAACAGGAGATTAATTTTGCCATTCCTCCCCCTCAAACTCCAAGTGATTTATTGTACCAGAGGATACAGGGAGGATGTTTATAACAGGGAATGAAACCAGTCCTGCCACCAACTGCAGCTGTGGTCCAGGGCAGTGCACTTGGGGGATCTGAAGAAAGAGAGTTGTTCTTCCACCCTACTTGACTATGTGACTTGACTTCTCATTCCCTGAGAAAAACTTCTTAAAAATCTGTGCTCTTTCTATTATTGTTCCTTGCTCAGAACATCCAAACACCTCCTTCTCAACAGGACAGGGATTAGGATACTTGGAGACTTTTCCCTTCCCTTTTTGCTTCAGTCCCTTTAAAGAGGATTTCTTAATAGTCCCATCATAGTGCAGTGTAGGATGTCTGCTTTAACACCTTCTGGGCTCTTATTCTTTTTATCCTGGCTGCTAAAACAGATGATTTTGATCATTTATCCATAGATCACACAGAGGTCAAACTTCCACTCTCAAAATACTGAGTCACTAGCCTGGCTTTATGTATTATATATAATTGTCTATATTAAATCTGCCTGTAAGTATTTTGGGAAAGGTTTCCAAGATAGAAGCTCCAAGAATATGTGATGAGCAAGAGTTCTTGATGTGCCCATTTCTTTGCTCCATTTTGTACAAGAGCTAATTACACTGGTGGGTCTAAATGAGCCAGTATGTGCAGCAGCATTCCTGATTATCTGTTCTCATCCTTCATTTTCTCAGTAGATCATAAATGGACAGATAAATCTTCTCTCTGCTGAGCTACGTCTTCATTATAGGAAACAAATCAGCAGTGAAGCAACTTTTAGGCATGAAACAGTTTCCTTGAGGAATGCTACTTCAGTAGATTGATATTTCTAGGGAAAACCTTTAAAATTTCCCGTAACAAATTTTCCTTTGACGCTGGGCATTTTTTCTTAAGTAATAATTATGAAACACAGGTCACAGGTTGTGACTTCAGAGCTGAACACAAGTAAAATGAGTTGGGAAATTGATAATCTTGATAATATTCCATTTAGAAAGCCTGGTTTAGAGAGATCTGAAATCTGTGAGAGTCTCATAATGTGTTTGGGACTTTAAAGGTGTGTGTCACTAAGCAGGACTTACTAATTTTTTCTGTAGTTTTGTACAGAGGCACCTTCATTGTGTTTTCCTCCCTCTCCTGTGAGGAAGGAAGGTGTTTGCGTTCAGGTACTTTTGCATTTGACTTGGGTTCTGCAGGGGAACTTTTGTAGCCAGCTGTAATCTCATGTTTTCTGCTTCTCCTGTAACTATATCTGTACTTCTGACTGGCAGCACTCTCCTTAGCTGCTCCCATGGTATGAGGAGGCTGCCTCAAAGGACTGCTGCCCTTGATAAGCCCAGTTTGCCTTTCTATTTTTTTGAGGAAACATTTTTTGCTGTCATCTATAGATATAGGATTATCTCTGAAGAATTTTTTAAATTAAAAAAACCCAAAACCTAACCCTTTGCTACAGAAATTTGATGAATACTATTTGATGCTATTTTCTAAAGTTTGCTCTCCAGACTGTTATTTTCCCCAGAGATGTGTTTTGGTAGTTGGCAAAGGAACACTTATGCAGCGTTGTGTCCAGCACTGAGCTCTCATGGTTGTGTGATGGAAAACAGGAAAGGACGAGGGGAATAGGGAGGGCAAAATGAGAGGAAATAAAAACCCCAACCCTCCAAAAGCTGCTTAGAACCTCAGGTAACTCATAGCAGAGTTCAGCTTGTCTTCCAAGAAAGCAAAGGTGTTTTCTTTAAGGTCCCAATAAGGAGGGAGAAGCAAAGTGGAAATGTAGGTGATACAAGACAGAGATTAAGGAAGATGATGAGATTTCCTTACTGCACTGGCAATATATTTCCAAGAGAATAACGCTTCTTTCCCACCTCTGGACTGATCCCTCCCCAGGTACCTTGCTGTGCAGGAAGTCTTAGTCCTAAAATATGCTTAAGTTTTCCCAGCCTTGTCTTGTTGGACCAGCAGTGCTGCCTTAGGAGGAGTTTTAGCTCCTAAGTCTCTCTGTCCTCTGTTACACTCCTGATGTCAGATTCTGACCTTTTTGTTCTTGGTTATATTGTTCTGTTTGGTTTTTTTTGATGATTTGGGATTTTTTTTTTTTTAATTTTTAAGGAGCAAGGCAGAAAGATTTCCAGCAAATGTACTTAATGTCACCTTATTTGGCAACAGTGTTGACTTTCTTCCTTACCCAACTGTGCAAAATTCAAAAGACAGTTGTAAAAAAGAGCTTGATCTTGGAGATTTCCCTGGACCCAGATATTTAACGCAAAATTCTCTGGAAAAAAGGTTTATTGCTCAAAAGCCTACTCGGGGCAAGAACCCTTTTGCACACTGCAGCTGCTGGCATGTCTTGCCTTTTTCTCTTGCACAATTAATCCTATGCATTTCTTTCCTTGGCAGAAAGCATCCCAGTACATGCATTTAAGGACCCCAGTTTCCCCTTCAGAACATCAGATACAACCAATGGCTTTCTCCAGCCTGAGCTGGATGTTTTTATCTTGGATCCAGTGATGCCAGGCACGGGGAAAAGCCCAAATGGAGCCTTTTGCTTCCCTCTCCAGGGGTAGCTCTGGAGGCTTGTGGCAGCAGCTGGTCACCTCTTCATCTTGGCAGGCTCAGGGAAAGCAGAGCTCAACCTGCACAGCCCTAAGGGTGCCCAGATGAGCACATGGATGTGCCTGCTTACTTCCATTAGAATCTCATCTCCTCTTCCTTTCCATACTCTGCTGCTTTCCAGATTTTTGCCCTCGAGGCACCTAATTTGCTGCTAATGTTGTTATAATTACAGCTAATTGGAAGAAGAGGAGGGAGAAGTGTGGGGTTTGCCACTGAAAATAATGACATCTGTAGGGAGAGGGGGAAAAATATGAAAAACTGAAAAAAATGGATTTGTGGAGGTCTTCAGTAAAAACCAGACAGAAAAAAAAGTTATTTAATTAACATCTTAATTTTCCTAGAAAAAATCCCAGACCCCTAACAATTCTGGTATTAGGATGTCCTCAGTGCATACATTACATGATAAATTATCAGTGCTTCCAAGTAGTCAAGACAGATTCAATTAGCAGCTTGCCATCCCCATTGGGAATGAAAATGTGATTATTTTCAGCATTTTCACTGGTACAGCTTGATTTCTGCTACTGCAAAAAGGCCATTAGTGCACTTCTGATTCCTAACTCCAGAACATGTGAAGTTAAAGTGCTTTAAAAGGCAACTTGAGCTGAAGATCACAGAAGGTGTTGTAGTTCTTCAGAGTACCAGGCAGAAAAGTCTCTTGGGAAGAGGAACAGGATATGCAATTTAAACAGCTGCAGGATTTGATCATTTTATTTCTCTGAGCCAAAAGATCAAGATTCATCATTGCTGATGTTTTCTCTTTAAGTGGAATACTGACTGCACTTATGCTTGTGCTACTAGAGATGTGTTAGAGCATTTTTCCAAAACCTTTGAAGCTTCAGGAAGCATGTGTTGCACAGCAATAGCATATTTCCTTTCTTCAATTTTGTTTTATTTTCCTAGTTTGAGTGACTTACTATCAAACACATTTTTGGACCACAGACACCTGCTTAGCCATGGGTACTACCACCTAATTATTCCCCCTGTCAGATTTAGCTGCTCTCTTGGGTGCACCTAATTGCTAGTGTACACCTCTGAGCACTGCTGAATGTCAGCTGATCTTTTTAGAAGTCTGGAAAGATTTTACAGGGGGCTTTAAGCCATTAGACCCTACTGTTTGCTCTGTGACAACCATCAGGATTAGAGGAAGGTTGAGACAGAGACTCCTGGAGCACTCTCTGATATCCCCACTCTCTTTTGCTTCTTCACTCCTACTGCCACTCCTATTGGTTTGATTACAGCCTTGTAATGAAGTACAGTGTTGGCTTTGGGGGGTGTGTGTATGAAAGTGTTACAAAATGGAGGAAAATTACTCCTAAGTGGGTTGTATTTCTCAATGTCACAGTAATTCCCATTGGTTTTGCTTTTGCAGATTCCTCCCTGGAGAAGGGAGCCCATCGCTGACAGCCTCCGGCCTGCAGGAGTGTAAACCAAAGGCTGCAAGGGACTCTTGCAACTTCATTATTCTGTTTTCTTCTGGGGTTTTTTTGCTCCTAGCTCCTTATCTCTTCAGTGCATGTGATTTATGTCTGGTAAAATCCCTGTGAGGACAATAGAAAAGCAGCTCATACAGGCTGGTGATCCTCAGGATCCAGTTAAACTCTGCTGGGAAGCGTTACTGCCCTTTGTTCAGAAGATGCTGTTTGTGCTGCCTTGTGAGAATCTCTTTAAAAGCCTGATGAGAAGAGATGCAGTTCTTGCTGAGGATTCAGACTGTCACATCTGGTTTGGATTCAAGAGCTTACAAGACCCATAGTGGTGTGATTTTTTGTGGTGGTTGTTGTTCGGGAATGATGAGGGTTTTTATTTGATTCCAGGGAATGGTTTGTTGATTGATCACCTTGAATTCTGTCCTCTCCTTCTTGGTAAAAGGAAAATCTGCTTCACTGTTTAAACTCCTTTGTGTAATTGTGATCAGGGTACCACCTATGCCAAGCCAGGTAAAAGGTGCCCACCTCCCCTTTTGAGTCTAGGTCAGATCTCCTTTTGTTTTGGCTCTCAAATTACATGTAAAGCATAATCACATGGGCTTTTTCTGTGTGTACTTATTTATATTGCAAGAATTTTAGTAAGAATATTGAATGAGTTTAACTTCTCCATGAATATGGCTTTATATTTCCAAATTATTCTTGTAATGAATCTGAACATTGTCATGTAACTTCTAACCAAGAATAAAGCCTGGCTTTTAAAGTGAAATTGTATTTAGACTATAATTTTTTTCACAAAATGTTCTGGATGAGTGTCCAGCAAACATTATTTGATAATCTATGTGCAAGATTGTCTCTTCCCTTCAGGCTTTTAAGAAGGCTGCTGTTGAGAAACAGGTATCCAAACCTGCTGGGACCCCACCTGAAAGAAGAAAGAGATTTTTGCAGGACATGAGATGTCCTCATGATAGCTCAGGAGTATTTAATATGGATTTAAGTTCTGACACAAACAATGTTTTGGACTGTGCAAAGACAGAGTCCTCAGCCACACGATGGCCTGCATGTGTCATTTCTGCTTATAGAACAGGTATTTCCTTTCCTTTCAGCATTCAGAGGCCTGTGCATAGAAATAATAACCTTACAGCATTAAACATGTCTGGCATTTGATTCTGGGCTCAATGGGGAACAGTCCATGGGAAAGGATCCTTCTGCTTTTACATTGTAGAGCAATGTCTGCCAACAGGGATGAAAGAGCTGACATTCCTGACTTACAGGACGGACTCGGGAAGAGCAGGAGCAAAGCACTGAGTGAGGCAGCCCCCAGAGAGAAGTTGTTTTTGGTGAACTATTGAAAATTAGAGTTTGACAGCAACCTTAGCTCCACAATGGACTCCCGAGTCTCTGCTGGAGAGAGGGCAGTTTTTATCTCTGCATGAATTTGGGACTGGCTTGCAGACACTGCAGCAGCAGATAATGCAACCAGCTCACAATATAACCGCGCTCCTCCTGATCAGCCATTTGGCTAATAAGGGTGAGATCATGGAAAATGCTAATGCACTGCCTTCGGAAAATCCAATTAGAACGTCCCCCCCTTCAATGGGAGCTCCCAGCAGGTGACCAGCGCTGCGGGCAGAGCACCCCGCGCTCGGAGCCGCCGGGAATGCCCGGAACAGACGCGCTCTGTGCGCTGTGCTCCATTCACTGCCCTCCTCTCCCCAGCCCTCCGCCGAGCTTTGTGCTCAACTCGTTATCTGACAGCATTAGCTGGCCAGAAAGGACGACTGAACGCCAGCTAGAAATGGTGTTTGCTGAGCTATCTTTACAGTCACGGGCTTTTAGTGTTTGTCAGGCTTGGGCACAAGACCATAAACTTTGGCTCACGCAAGTCCTAATGCTCCTGGTGTTGTGTGATAGGGAGTTTGTATCTTTTAAAACGCACATAAAATGCCTGGAAGTTGCTTTTCCGCTTGGTTTTCTTGGAATGATGTATGTTCCCCCACTGCAGGTGCTGTCATCTGTGTGAGTTAGCATCGCCAGGCTCAAACACCCCCAAAGGAAATGCTTTCTGCAGTGACCCAGACGGCTCTGAGGGGGTGAGTTATTTTAGTTAAAATCAACCATAGTGTTCTTAACAGGGATTTTTTCTTCCTTGAGCTGTGCCAAAACTGGATATCAACACTCCCAGTTCTCCCTTAAAAACATGGGGTCTTTGGGGAATTTTTGTCCCTTTTTTTTTTTCCTGTGGAGAAAAATGTTTTGTTTTTATATATAGTCTCATGAATTATAGCAAGAACACACCATCCATGAAAATATTTTCTTCTCAGATGAAATGAATTGTATAAACAGCAGAACTAGAATGCATGGTGAACACTTTGGGTGAAATAATGGTCTTTTACCCTTTGGCTCTGGGTCCTCACACTTGAAGACTTGCACTTCATTATCTTCACATCATCCAGCCTCCTATCAGTCATTGCTTGGTCATGACAGCAGTTTCTGGGTAGTCAGGATCATGGGGTGCCCATCATTTCTGGTCTTCATCCCCTCTCTCTCTTTCAGTAGTCTAGAACAGAATGAGAAAAAGCAGGTGGTATATGACCATGCCTTTTGGTCAAGCAATCTCAGCTTCCCACTAGCATGGGTGGGGAATGTACCCTGGAAATTGTACCTTGCCCATAGCACCCTGTGCTGAGAGGCCAATTCTAATCAGATTTAAGTTCTCTCTCTCTCTTTTTTTTTTTTAAGTAATACTCAAGTTAAAAATGGTTTCTGTATTTTAACTGTTGTGAGAATGACAGAAGAATTTCTCTGATTTGTGCAGATGCAAGTTTAAAGGTCTGCAGGACACCATGGGGTGGAAAGCATTTTTCTGATTAATAAAACACTTTCCCCCCAGGAGCCAGGATGCTGGTTAATGCTGTGTTTTCACTTAGAGCAGCAACAGCCCTGCTTCCACCTGCCCTATAACAGGGCAGCACCCAGGTGCTTCCTGTCCAAGGGCTGCTTTTGTGAGAGCCCCAGGCCCACGCTGGCCATGGGCTGGCAGCGGTGACAGCAGGGCTGGGGCAGCCAGGGCAGGGACCTGGTGGGTTCCTCATGGTCTCTTGATCAGTGCAGGAGTTAAGACCTCTCCACAGTGACACTGTAGATTGCAGTTTTGGCCTAATGGGAGATATCAGACCAAGGTGGGCTCTGAAGCTCTTCCCACAGCCAGGGGAAAGGATTTGGAGAAGGGAAGTCTTGTGGAGCAAAGCAGGATGCGTGCTGCTCGTGTCTGTAGCACATGACCTGACTGAGAGAGAAGTGACAGCTCTGGCGAATGGCAAAGCTCCTGTGTTGGCCTTTTTGTCACCTGGGTGGTTCCTTTCATTTAGTTGCTTGGTTTAGCTGGGAGAAGAGAGGGAGATCTTTTAATTTTCTTGGAGGAAGTTTTCCTGTTGTGCCTTCCTGTGTTCAGGCATCCCGTGTGTCAGCTGTTGGTCATGTTAATCCCATGTTAATCCATTAAAAACAATGACATTGCCCTGCAGGGCTGGCACATGTAGAGACTCTTTGCAGGTCATTCACCAAATCGCTTCTAGTTTTGATTAAATATAGCAGTAACTTAAAACTCTCACTTGAAGTTAGGCACAAAACACCAGCCAGATTATTTCCCTATGCTAAAAGTTCGGGAAAACTGTGCTTTTCTGAATGTTAAAGTGAGATCTGTTCTTTTTGCAAGTCCTAATCTTTTTTCCTCTTTTTCCTCACGCCAGATTTGCAGTCTGTCCTTTATAGTCATGCCCCAGCATGGAATCTGTAGAAATCATGCCAGGAGAAACAATCCTAATTATGGAATGGAGAGGATTAGCAATGATAGCAGAAAATCACAGTCATCAACACCGGGATATTTCAAAGAAAATTCTTTCTGTGTAAGTGACCTGTTCAGACACTAAAGCAGCTTTGGAGGGTCAGTCAATCTCCCCATATTTCCAGCTTTCTTTTAGGAAAGAAAAGCTTAACAGGAGAAAAGCTGATCTCTTCTGAACTGGAATAATGGTACTCTCTTATGTTGGCAGTAGCAAGAGAGGGATTACTTAATTCTCTGTTAAAATTCCCCTGTAGTCAAGAATTAAGTGAGGGTGGGGATGCCAAAGAGGGGACTTGGAGCCCCCAGTGATGTACTTGCTCCAGAAGGGAAGGGAGCTCACTAAAATCAGATTTGAGGCATGAATATTGCATTACAGTTAACTAAAAGCAGGCTTGACTCTGGCTTAGTAACGCCAGCAAAATTGGTTGCTCACAGGGTTCTTAGTCCTTAATAGTGATAATTAAAATTCAAAGAGTGTGTGTGATGTTGTTATCTCACTGGCCATGGCTTCTGAAGAGACATCTGACTTCCCTGAGGATTTGGGTGTGGTTGGGTCAGAGCACTGGAGCTGCTTTTCTGTTCCTGGGTGATAAATTAATAACAGAGGACTTGGAAACACAACTCAGAAAGAGGTGCAAAACCAGAAAACCTCCCCACCAAGTCAAACCCACTGCATTACAAGATACCTGTTGGGCAACTGAAAAAAAATAATTAAATCCTCAGGAAAAAAAAAAAAAGGCAATTAATCTCAATGTGCTGTTAATTTAATAGTATTCCCATGTGGAGTCTTAGTGCTACTGTCACAAGCTGGCCATAACTTCCTGCTGTTCCACAGATGCTTGTGACAGGTTCTGCTTTTCATGCTCATTTCTCTGCAGCCCTTCACTTTGGAGTCACAGCAGACCATCTATTTGTAATTTGTTTCCTTATGTTTTGAGTCAAACAAGGTTTGCAGAAAGTAAAATTCCCATTGGAAAAGAACTTAGAAATGTGCTGCTGTACTGCCAGGAACATTTTTCCAAATAATTAAATTCTTATTAATTGGCATTTTCACTTTGATGAATGCAAACAGTCAAGCTATGGCATGCTGTGTGGCTTTCTGTATCTGAAAGCACAGATAAGAGATGTGGGAAATGCAAACAAGAACCCCGAGTATTACCAGGGAGGGGGAGGATATTAATAAGGAAGGAATATCCCTTATGGGTTCCTTGTTTGATTTGTTCATATTCATTCAGCCTATTCTGCCCAAATTTGTTTCGTTTCTGTATGTAAACACCACTACTGTTTATGAGCAGTGTTTCATTTTGGTTTGGAACAGCTTCAGCTTATGACAAGTGTCAGCCTTTCTTCTTCTGAGAAGAAAATGATGCCGGCATTGCACCTTGATTTGTGTGCTGGGAGGGTGTGGCACTGGCAGGGTGTTTCATGACTCCTGAGCAGATGCCATTCATCTCAGTCAACTGCTCTCAAAAATACTACATTTCAGTTGCAGGCATCTAAATCCCCATTAAATTCTTCAGGCTACTTTAAGCTTTGACATATTAGCCCCTGAAATTGTGCAGACATTCTGCCTCTGAAGTTCCCAGAGGGAGGGCTCTGCAGAACCCAGACTGAGTCTGGCTTTGCTGAACTGCATGGATTTTCCTTGCTCTGTAGGAAAAACCTGTGTGGAAAACTCAGGCTCTTCCAGGTGGTCTAGGGCCTCTGTGTGCAGGTGATGATGTTTGTGCACAGCCTGTGCTCCTGTGTGCACTTGCATATTTCTATTTATATTATATACATAGAAAGCAAGTATTCACTCATAGGTTTGAGTGTAACAGCTGAATATATCCCTACACATGCTCTTCCCTCCAGGAGAGGAAGCTCCTAGAGATTTAGCAAGGTTGCTAATACTTTTAACCT